ATTCCAATATATAACGCCGTTCTTTCCGCCGGACTCTGCCGTCCGCAATAATATAACTTTATCCACGTATTCGCGCACTCTTGATTGTGGAATCGCAGCGCATCTCAGCAGCTTTGAAATATTATTTTTTTGTTATTGTGTTTTTTTTTTTCAAGTTTCGCGCTCTCTGCGAAACATTCGAGTCGCGGAAATGCGAAATAATTCGAACGTGACGTATGTGACATTTGGACTCATTTACGAAATATTTGATTATATAGAGCTTTAAATCAGATGTCTTATTTCTATTATTCTTTTTATAATTATATATATATTTTCATATATATTTATACATTATATTTATATATATTTTACATTATATATATATATATATTTATTTTACATTATATATATATTTATATATATATATATATATATATTTATACAATATTTCATATTTTATATATGTATATATATTTTTAAATTTATTTATATGTATATATATATATATTTTATTTATTTATAGGCATATACACTTTGATATTTATGTGTTTTAATCATATTATCAAATTTGTAATTTGTACGTCTACTTATTGGCGAAGAATTACACGCGTACATCGCAGATTAGTGTTGACTGCTATATATTACATCGTTAGTAAGCTCTCGAAAGAAGTTAAACATGCAATAAAATCTCATATACTTGTCAGTTCTCTCGAAATTGCAATCTCGCTACTGTGAGCTGCAGCTACTGTATTATTAATTGAACGTTAACTCTGTGGAATTATGCATGGAGTAGCGGTTTGGTTGACTTTTCACGAAAATTCTTACCTTGCGACGAGGGATAATAAAGGCGGGAGCATCTAGAAAGTTTCGCGGGAATCTAATTATTGGGGACGAAGCCGCGGTAAACACGAAGTACTTTGAAGCACTCCATGCCACTAACACGGTACGTGTACCGCATGCTGAAAAACGGGACAATACGGATCAGAGGAGTAATTAGGATTGGTATACCGGGGTAGGAAAGAGAGAAAGAGTTTACTTGTTAAGAAAAACCGAAAGTTTCGCATTGCAATAAAATGACGAGGAGCAGTACAAAAACACTTTACGTCATTGGCAAGCAACGGGAAGCGTAAAATCGTAGCTTGATGCGAAAGTTAAGAACAACAAGAGGAAGTAAAGGAAGAAAAAATTAAGTCAGCGATAAATCAACGATCTGCCGAGCGCGTCTTATATCGTTCATCATTCTCTCCGACGGATTTTGAATATTCAGATTAAATTAAAAGTAATAAATGGCGCGCAAGAAAATGACATTTATTTAATAGGGATAATAATTTCATAAATAATAATATTAAGAATCGGATAAGAAATATTTTTATCGGCTCTCAATATTAATAATAATATAAATATTATTATATATATTTAAAAAAAATTATTTATTAAATTTATTTAATTAATATTATTAAAAAAAAATATATAATAATATTTATATTATTATTTATATTAAAAATATATTCGAAATCATAATTAATTTTTCCGCTAATTTCGCACAGGAATTAGAGATCTAAACCAAAGATACCTATATATTATTCCTAATTAGCGAAAAAATTAATTTATAAAATGATAAATAATATACGTGCGGATGACTTTTTGTTGCCGCTCTGAAAAAGTTAGATATATAAGTATAATAATCGCTGCTGTGTCATCGCAATTCTGTAAAATCTCGAGATTTATAGAAACGTACAGGATGCATTCCGGATGAAGAGAAATGCTAGCTCATTATGTTGCAGTAGTAAGAAAGAAGATTTAGGGAGCGCGAGACTTCGGCGAGTTTGAATGACGGGAAGTCCAGGCAAAAACTTGGAGAATCAGCCAACGGATCCGTGATGAATATGAAAGCGGAATGTGTTAAAAACTCTTCTCGCAGCCTTGCGACTTCACCCGTCGTAACTTTGTCTCCTTTTGATAAACGCGAATTTTTAACTTTACATATCAGTACGCTCCTAACTCATATCAACTTTATTACGTTAGGACGCTGTTATCCTTTTGGGTTTCTTGCAAACTGTAAGGAATTTCATCTACTTTGCGCGCATCTCCAAAGTGATATTTTTCACCCTTTAATTCCAAAGTCTTTCAACTAGTCATCTAAATTAAAATGAGTGTATGATTGAATTAAGATTTACAGGGTGTCCCATAGGAAATTGCTGAAACTAATCAGCTGTCATTTTTTAATGCATGCAGTTATTGAGAAAACAAAAATTGTGTTGGACAGAGGAAAGTCTAGCATTTTTTTCATTACTTTTTATCAATAAAATAAACTATTATACAAATATTTTATTTATAACCATGAAAAATTGCAGACTTTCCTTTTTTTAACACAATTTTTGTTTTCTCAATAACTGCATGCATTAAAGGATGACAGCTGATCAGTTTCAACAATTTTCTGACATTCTGTATTTTATACGCTTATATTGCGTCTTATATATTTTTCATAATATAATCTGTAACAACAATTTTCACGTAGAAACACACTTAAAAAACTAAATGATGCGTCTGGCCGTGTCCGAAACGTTGGAGCGCCAAGAAAAGTTAGCGAGATAGCAATCGGAAAATCTATTTTCCCAGGGATACGAGAGGGGTGCTTTTAGAACTGACATAAAGCGCAAATGCATCGCAAAAGGAGAGAGAGAGAGAAAACGTCTCCCACGATGGGGAGTGGCACCTTCTGGCGCACAGAATTGCAGTTATCGAGCATTAAATTCGCAGGAACGAGAGAGAGCTTATGGCGGACTTATAAACCGCCCGGATAATTCCGGCTGTAGAAAACTGTCTTGCCAGCGTGAGAAAAGCTCTGGTCGATAAACCGTTCCCCGACTACGGGCTACTATTCTAAGATCGCGTCGAAAATAAGCGGTGCTGGATAATGCACGTGGGTTAAATATAACCCGGGCATCTCGTGGTAGTCGACCGCTATTTCACGCACGAACGTGGATCTCGACGATGTATAACCCTTCTTTCCGTTTTTTGCAATTAGCAGTTTAACGTACAACATTTTTATCCTTTTTAAGCGAGACCAAAAATTCAACTTCGTTATTTTGTTCTATCAACTTTAACATTTTTTGTTCGCCGTGCACTGCAAAAAATATTTGGGTGAAATTGCACGATTTTTTTTCGACCCACCACAATCATGAAATAATGCTAGATTATGTGTAATTTCATGTGAAATGTATTCTTATATATATTTTTTCAAGATTAAAAATATGAACATGGATATACACACAGGAAATGCTATAAAATAATGTTATAAATAAAATAGATAAATTCTCATAAAACAAAGTTCTGATAAAGTAAAAATACTAAATTTAAAATTACAAGTAATTTTTGCATGCAAATAGTAATTTTATATTTTACATATATTTGTACATTAATATGTGCTTTAAAAAATATGGAAAAAAATTGCAGCGATAATTTTTCCAGTTTTGAACGAGTAATTTCCATGTAAAAGAGTACATGGATTTTTTTTACAGTGTGTGTTAAAAAAACATGTAATTATTTCGCAGTTGATTTCTTCGCGTTTAATTTGTGCGACAGAACGAAAGCAATTTCTATTTTATTTCTTTATACGTTTCTTCAATATATTCCACGTGATTTACTGCAAGATTTAGACAAATGTGAAATCTCGGAGGAACTTTTCTAGAGAAAGCTTATTTGGGGAAACGAAAAGGAGAAGATACGAATACAATATCCGACGTTGCTGAATGTTTTCTGTCTCAATGTAGTTTTCCTCTGTGCACGATCCGAGTATCGTTCAATCCGCCGTGCGTACAAATGGGAAACTACCCCAAACTACCCCACCGAAAGTCCGATTTCTCATCAATGTTTTTTCTTCCACGAGAACTCAGCAATCGATTATTTGGATTAAAGCTTGATATGGGCCTCGAATTGGGAGGAAAAGAAAAGCGGCGGATATGTCAGAAGAAAATATATTGCGGCCACACAAGACGAGCAACGTGTGTTTTATTGTTTGCAATTTCTGTCACGTGTTTGCTGTTATCTAAATAAAAAATTATATATGATCATTTATATAATAAAAATATTAAATAATAATAAAAATGTGTTTTTGGTTTAGAATCATAGCACATAAAAATACTTAAATGGAACTTGTAATAAGCGATAAAAATTTATAAATAAAAATATGAATCCAGACATTTTTATATTCCTTTTATAATTTACATTTTTTTATAATTGTGTTACATAAGCAGTCTTAAAAATTATTATCTAGATGCATTGCCATATAATTTCATCTAGATATATATTTAAAATAAAATACTCTTCATCTTACCTAAGATGAACTTACAGATTTTTATCTCATCTGTATCTAGCTAATATTAAAATCATCTAAGCGCTATACTGGTTAATATTAAGAAATATATATATATATATATATATATATATATATATATATATAAGCGTGCACTGACACCACTCGCGCCATTTGGCGCAATATTGTTCGCTGCAGTTATTAAAGCCGGCTGGATTGAATGGGAATTCCCGTTGATCCACGCCGACAAGAGAGAGAATGCATATTAATGTTGACATTAAACAGGAACGATTATTAAACGGCCCTCGTTACGCATATCATGTCAGTCTGTTTCTGTAAAACGGATAATTGGAAATCGACTATCGAATTCATTATTCCGCGCTTCGAAGGGAAAGAGAGAGAAGTATATAACAAACCCTCGCTAATTAATTATTATATAACGTCGGCATTAAATCGAAGATTGAACCCTGTTTTATATAAAAAAAAATTAGCGGGAGAGGATGCATGACGTGTCCGAAATTTTCCGTGAATTTTCGTTGTATTCTCCGTACATGCTTTCCGCCGAAGATCTCTCTCGTTCGCCGAAAACGAACCGCCGGAAATCGAAGGTCCTCTCCTCGGCTAAGTATAGCTCGCGCCGCGCGAGCATAAGTCTGGCCGGTGACGTCGGGAAGTGTCAGTATATGCTGGATCTCGCGTGGACCGACCGATTCTCCAGACGATTCAGAAAACTTGCTCGTGTCGATACAATAGCGCGTCGCGGTTGCCGCGAGAAGCGGCCCTTTGTTCGTCACAAGTGTGCCAAGTATTTTAAACATCTTGTTATTGTTGCGAGCGACACGTGGACGGATGGTCGCCTCGTGCGCGGACCACAAAAGCGTACGAAACCCAGCCCGAATCGAAGATCGAACTCGCGATCAGTCCGCGACAAGGGATCATCGGCGAAGGTGGTGTCTTCTATTCGATATCATAGAAAAGAAGTGTTCCTTCATCGCGTTTTCACAGACGGATACTTTCAGTCGGGTATTTCAATTATATTTATAATTAATATATTAATTAATTAATATATTAATATAGAAATAATTGATATATAAATATATGTATATAAAAATTCATATATATATAATAATATATGAGAAAATTAATATATTAATATACAAATAATTAATAATTAATATATAAAAATATATAAAAATTCATATATATAATATATATATATATTAATTTCTAATTAATTTTTTCCTATAAGAAATTCTTTTGTGTGTCGTCCGGAATAGAAGAAAGATTTTTGTTCTCGATCGAAGAGTGACGGAGCTTGTTCTATTTTTAACTTCGACGATTTGTGAAACTGTAATAAAAAAATGTTTCTTGGCAGAGTCGGGCCGGCGAAATAAATAAGCATCAAGGCGAGAAATGTTTAATTACGAATTGATATGCGTGGCTCTGAATTTCGAAAGCATCTCGGTTATTAGAAGTGCATTTTGAATAATGCGACGGACATGTTAACGAACGCGTACTCTTTCCCTCAATTTGGTCGCAGGATACAGAGTTATGTCGAGTGTCCTTAATGTCACTGTCTGCCCGAATGAAATTAGGGAGATTTATCTTCCTCCTCGTTTACATCGGCGAGCGCGTTTGGGGTTACGAGACATTAGTCGTGCACAAATTACATGCTGCGCACCGTCGAGAAATTATTCGACATGCCTGTCGCTCTATAAGCAATTTAGGATTCGTTGATTAGCCGCAGGTGCATGACAGATTCCGACGATCGTGCAGAATCGGTCATTAGGCATCGTTTCATTTAGGTGCATAATCAGATAACTTGAGATTGCAAAATTTACATCAATTAATTCGGCACGTATAAAAAATCATTAAGGGAGATCCGCAGTTTAGGATTCATTTTATCTTCAATACGCGTATTTCTTTATATGTTGATTAATTTAAGCTAAATATTATTTAATAACAAAACTAATATTTAAAGAAATGTAATTCAGCGACTCTATTAATCCTTTAATCTAACATTTATTGTGTCTGTGTGTTATTAATGCTCTCGAATTTGAATGCAAACAACAAAAGTATGCACAGTGTAATCACGTAAATTGATAAAGGCGCATTACAAAGGTGGAATCAAAATTGAATGCGCGAGGTGCAAAATACCAACGTGCTGCGCTATTTCGCGAACATTTCGAGGTAATAAATGATAAATCTAGATTTCCGCGAAATCTTGGTATTCAATTACGCCGTACATCTCTCGCGAAATGCATTAAACGAGGAGAAAACGATTCGGAAATACTCCGCTTTCGTGAAATAACTCTCGCAAATTCTGCCTCTCGCATATATACAGACAAAGGAAAAAGCTGAATCATTCGCAACGCTGCTGTTTATTTTGTTTTCCATGAGAATAATGATGCGCCACGTGCAACCGTATTTTCGCGACACGCATGACACTTTGGACTTTTCGAATGCTCATTAAGCGACTCGTGCTCGGTGCGCTTTCAGCAGGAGAAAAACTCGTCTATAAATATATATTTGCGTATTATAAAGTGGTGTCGTATTCATTATACATATATATATAATACAGTAAGCTTATTTGTTCACGTATATTTTATACATACAGTACCCTCCATAAGTTTGGAAACACCTTACATTTTACAGTTAACGAATTGCATGGCAGCGATCTGTCATAAATAAAAATGTCATTTAAATATTTTATGTTTTTTTATTTATGATTTATTTATACAAAAAATCTGCACAGATCTGTCAAAAGGATCCTCTTAATTTAAGAGAAAAATTCTCTAAAGAAATATTCTTTAATTAGATATTTGTAACATGCAAGAATATAAACTTAATGGAATGTTTTTTATCAGTATATTATTTGAAATGTTAAAAATTACATTTTTGAAAGCACATTTTTATTTTAATTTTTCGTGTTAGTCTTAATAATTAATTAGCAAATAGTAAAAATTATGCGTTATTTTTAAATTTGCAATCAAAGCAGAAAAATTCATATTCAAAGTGTTTTAATTCATAAAATAGATACTCGTCTATAAATATATATTTGCGTATTATAAAGTGGTGTCGTATTCATTATACACACATATATATATATATATATATATATATATAATACAGTAAGCTTATTGTTCACGTATATTTTATACGTACAGTACCCTCCATAAATTTGGAAACACCTTACATTTTACAGTTAACGAATTGCATGGCAGCGATCTGTTATAAATAAAAATGTCATTTAAATATATTTATGTTTTTTATTTATGATTTATTTATACAAAAAATCTGCACAGATCTGTCAAAAGAATCCTTTTAATTTAAAAGAAAAATTCTCTAAAGAAATATTCTTTAATTAAATATTTGTAACATGCAAAAATATAAATTAATGGAATGTTTTTTATCAGTATATTATTTGAAATATTAAGAATTACATCTTTGAAAGCACATTTTTATTTTAATTTTTTGTGTTAGTCTTAATAATTAATTAGAAAATAGTAAAAATTATGCGTTATTTTTAATCAAAGCAGAAAAATTCATATTCGAAAGGTTAATTCATAAAATATATACGTACAGTACCCTTCACAAGTTTGGAAACACTTTACATTTAACAGTTAAACAATCGCATGGCAGCGATTTGTCATAAATAAAAATGTTATTTAAATATTTAACGATTTATTGATACAAAAAATCTACACAAATCGCTGCCATACGATTGTTTAACGGTAAGATGTAAGGTGTTTCCAAACTTATTAAGAGTACTGTACGTAAATATATATTTTATAAATTAACCCTTTGAATATGAATTTTTCTGCTTTGATTACGACTTTTAAAAATAATACAGAATTTTTACTATTTGCTAATTAATTATTAAGACTAACGAAAGATTAAAATAAAAATGTGCTTTCGAAGATGTAATTCTTTATGAGAATATAAATAATATATAAATGGTTTCTTAGTTTTATTCTTTGCTCATTATTAATTCTAACACAAAATAAAAATATTCCTTGAAGATGTAAATTTTTATGTGGAGATATGACACAGATGCTACTATTTAATTATTAAAATCATAATTACAATAATAGCAAAGAAAAGAATGATAAAAAAATTTTACAGACAGACGACGGATTTTTTATTATTCACATGCTTCGATGAAAATTTGGCTCGTACAAATGCGCTGCCACTGAAAAAAATATTTGTGTAAAATTACATGATTATGCTAGGTTTTTTTTCGACCAGCATAATCGTGCGATTATGCTACTCATATGGAAGATTACAGATTATATGCAATTTCATATGAAATATATGTACTTGTAAATTTTCAAAATTAAAAATATTCCACCGAGCATGGAATTACACATAGAAAATGCTAATGTAATAAACGCTATAAAATAATGTTATAAATAAAATGGATAGATGCTTCTAAAACAAAATTCTAATAATATAAAAATAGTAAATTTAAAATTACATATGATTTTTGCATGAAATCGTAATTTAATCTTCATTTTACATCAATATGTACATATTTTCACTTAAAAAAATAAAAAAAAAATTATAGCGATAATCAAGTAATTTTCCAGTTCTGAAATAATTTCCATGTAAAAGTACATGGATTTTTTTTTGGACTCTTTCGAAAATCCCCGTGATCCACGACGAAATACGATCGAACAATTAAAAGCGTGGCGAAATAATTGAAATAACGTAGGCGGGCCAGTTTCGAGGCTCACGGTTAAAGTGTCAGAATTAGCATCCCGTTTCAAGTCTCATGGCAACGCCCATGAAAGTTGCTAATACAATCGTTGCTCGCTGCCTGTTGCACCCCTCCCTCTCACCCCCTCCCACCCCTCGACGCACACGCGGTGAGAGAAAAGGGGAGAGTTTGCTTTAAGATCCAACAAGTGGTTCGTCTAATAGTAACAATGCTTCCTAATGTACTAGCTTCTGCTATTGTGTCGGCTCGGAAGCGCGATCGGTCCTCGACGCCGGTGACCTTCGACGTCAGCAACGTCAGAAGTGCCGAGAAACTTGCGAAACGAATTTGGCTCGACTTCTGGCCACGTATCCGCCGCGAACAATCTCTTTGAACGCTCCGCGTGTGATATTGACGCGTGCGGATGAGTGTTATTTAAATTTATCTTTATGTTCATCGCGATTCTCCAAAGTCCGCGCCATTCAGATTTATACATTTTTCATTCAATCCGAGGTAATTGCGAAATATTTCTTTAAGGGGCTGCGAATTTTTACGGCATGCATAACGTGGACAGGTTTCATTTAGAACGCGGAATTTAGACGGGAGAAGTATCAGAGTTCTTGAAGAAGTTATTCTAATTCGAAATATATTTCACGTTGCCTAGAATTTAGTTAAAGACAAAAATATTATAATTTTTAATCAAATTGTAGTTATAAATATTATTTGCAACAAATTTTGCAAAACAGTCGACGAGGTTATATACTACAAATTTAGAAGCTTAAAATTCTTCGCTTCCTGGTGTCTTGAAATTTTAACGGACAGCCATGATTTTTATTAGCTAGCTCCGGATATATTAATTTAGTAACGGATAAACGTTTGCGTTGGCATCACGGTCGAGATGACAAACTGCCGGATGCTTTGCGAGAAGGTCGGATCTGAAATAAGCCGATATCTCATGGAATTAAAATCGACATTGATTGAGTATCATTGTATCAGAGAAAGAAATGATGTGATTTTTTTATAAAATTCTTAGATTTTTTTGCGCATCACGTTTGTAAAATTTTTAAAATCAATTGACTTGGATACGATTTTTCGTTGTCGCAGATAATAAATAGATAGATAATAAAATAAATTTTACTAGATATAATAAATTATATTTATATAATTTTTATATAAATATTTTATATAATTACATCTAATATAATAATTAAAAAGAAAATGTTAACACGCAGGAAACACATACACTTATTTTCCTCTAATTAAAGAAGAAACAAGATAGAGGAAGTTAATTATTACAAATAACAATTACTGCAACATAAAAAGAAAAAGAATATAAAGAGAAGAATAGTAAAGAAAATAATAATACAAAAGAATAAGAAAATAGCAAACTGTTGGAATTACTTTTAATTTATTTAAAACAATTTTCTTTGAGTTTTATTTCAACGCTGCTGTAATTAAATTTACATCAGATATAAAATATGATATTGCAAATAAAATTTTTATTTTTTACGCCAAATAAAACGTCCGTTTCGCGTTAATCGGGATTATCTCGTATATTACGCGCTTCACGTACAAGCGCGATAATTAATTCGTGGATTGCATGAGTAATCATCCACTCATTAGCGACGTTCAAATAATTATTACGGTTGCCGCGGTTTTCGATCTGTAATGTAACTTGTTTCAATGTGAACGCGTTGTAACAGTAGTGCAATACATCACGATCTAATACTATTAAGTACAACGAATTACATTTCATGAAACTATCTCTGCTACGAACACATTTCAGCAATTAGTTAAAATAATATATTTCATGATATTATTATTTTTCAATCAAATCTAAATGTGTTACAATACGATTCATAACATTTTGATTTTTATTTGCAGTAAATTAATAAAGAAGAATATCCGATTATAAAAATATTTCATATAAAGCTATTTATATAAAATATTTATCAAACAAATTTATTGTAAATATAATTTTTATTGTCTATCATTTTTATTTCTACTTTTCGGGATATAAAAAAAAAAGATTGAGTTTCGCGAGTAAAACGCTATAAGAGAAATTGATCGAGTGCAAGCAATCAGAAAAGATGTAAGATATACTTAATACACTCTCGACTCTCTTGTCGTTTAATCACGGCGAAAAGCCTCAACATAATTTGCGTTTGCGAAAAGTTTTCAGGGTTACCCTCGAAAGTTCACCCTCTCTCTTTTACCAAATTTACGCTGATGATGCATCGTGCCTTAAAAAGAAGTGCAATGACTCCACGAAGATCTTGACATTATCTTTGTAGTGATGGTGTAGGTATATTACGCCAGTCACCAAGCTTCTTTTTTTACTGCTAAACTTGAACGTGAACCTCTTCACGATTTAATCATGAAGAACGTACAATATCTCTAACTGATTATTTTATAAATAATATACATATTTCTACAGGTTAAATTTTGTATATATCAATAAAACAATTTAACTAATAACATTTAAGAGGGAATAAAAGTGTTGCACTTTCTTCTTCTCTTTAGCGTTTCGTTGCAAATTGCGTTGTCGAAAATTGTATGAACATATAAATATCGACCTAGTCATATGATTGTCGCAATAACAAGCACAAATAAACACCAACAGTTGTGTTCTATATATTCACTCAACACGTGACTGGATGAATAAAATTTTTGGCAGTATTTCGAAAAATGACGTTATAGAGTCACGATATTAGTATGATTATTTTCTTAACTATGACGAAACTATGACGAATTAGAATGATGCAAGATATCGAAACACTTTGAAAGAGAAAGACTCATTCCCATATTTTTCCAACACGAAATATGCATTATAATAAACTTTTAAATATACAATATTTGAAGTTATTTTTAACTTTAAAACTGAAATGTGTTAGAATAAAAAAAAAAAAGAATATTTATAGCGTTTAAATAATATTGTGTTGGATATGTTTATATTTTTTTATGTTAGACATACAGGAATATTTATGTATTCTAAAATGCATGCATGTATGTATATGTATGCATATATAAAATGTATATGTATGCATACATACATAAACTCTACGCGCTGTGTGAAGAATTGAATAAGGGAGATAACTTTTTTGCCCTCTTTTATGTAAAGAAGACAAGATCGAGAATAAGTTTTTCTTTTTTTTACAGGCATGGAGCAGTTCGAGCAGCTGCTGACCTGCGCGATATGCCTGGATCGGTACAGAAATCCGAAGCTCTTGCCATGTCAACACAGCTTTTGCATGGAACCGTGCATGGACGGCCTCGTCGATTACGTTCGTCGACAGGTCAAGTGTCCAGAATGCCGTGCCGAACATCGTATACCGTATCAAGTAAGACAGTCATCTTTATATATGTATACAACATATCGCGATATCGATTTTTCAATTTAATAAAAAATATCAAATATTTAAAAGATTTAAACATTCGAAACAAAAATTTCTCATATTTTATATAAAAGAATATTTTTAATATTTTAATCAATATTTTTATATATATGTAATATTTATTAAAATATTAAAAATTTTTATATAAAAGGATATTAATATTTTATATAAAAGAATATATTTTAATGTTTTAATAAATATTATTATATATATATTTTTTTAATATTTTAATATATATATATATATTAAAATATTAAAAATCTTTTTTAAATGTTGGAGAAAAAGATGATTTGACTATTCAATGTCTCCCGAGCCGACTAAAAATTCCTACACACAATAAATTAAATAAATTACCTGGATACATATTATATTTAACTTCTTGCGGTTCCGCAAAATTTATATGGAACACATTTGCGCAAGCTGTTGCGGCTCGTTTGTCGCGAAACTGCGCGCGCGGTTCTCCGATTATTATATCGCCTTGTCGCGTTTATGTCTTTAATAAATTTTCGGATGATAATGCAAGGAGAGGAAAAAAAAAGATCGATCTGATAGTTTCGACCGCAAATTGAATGTTCTTCCGCGCACGACAGTATAGAGAATGCGACGTTACGTGTAAGCTCATCTTTATTCAACGATGAATCCAAACGCGAGAGGACTCTCATTGAACCGAGTGTATTCTCACGTTTCAAACTCATGTTATCTTCCGACTGTTCGACCGGTCTGTTTTTCCGGAATAATCGAACGTGTTTACGCTACGGAATTTAAAAATGTTCTCGCCTAGCGGGAATAACAAATTATGCGGTTATATTTTGAGAAATAATCGAAGAATTTGAAAAACACGTTTATTTCATTATTAGATTATACGTAAACCAGTTTTTCGAGAACTCATCGTAATATTTAACAGCCGCGCGGATCCATGTATGTATACATATAACCCGCAATAACAATGACTTTATTTACCGACGTACAGATACGCATTTCCATTCCGGTTAGCGTTGTATAGGAATGTCACGGGATGCATTGTGTACAATTAATTCGCGCCATTGCCCCGTTTCCAGTTCATTAATAAACGTGCTCGGTACATTACGAAAGCTAATCGAACCGACGATACATCTCTGCTATTTGTAGGGCGTGCAAGCCTTTCCGACCAACGTAACACTGCAACGATTTCTGGAATTGCATATCGAGATCACCGGGGAACTACCGGACCCGACCAGCGGTCAGACCATGGAACGCTGCGGTGTTTGCTCGGAGAAGAGCTATTGCTCGCTGTGTGTCCACTGCGAGAAGAAATGCTGCCCCGAATGCAAGGACGCGCACATGGATATCCTGAGACGCGAAATTGCGCGCATCAATTCCCAGGTATGACGCTAAACACATCATTAATGGTCATCCTGCAGCTTTGTTTTAGCGATAAAACACGTCAAGTTTGATCACGAGTCTTTTTATTCGCTATACAGGGCGTCCCAAAATTACACCCGGACACCCTGTTAATATAGGGAAATTTCTTAAGTTATTTGGAGATGATTCCTCCTCAGCAAAAATGTTGAGGGAAGTCATCATTTTGTAGCTAAGCCTTAAATTACAATTCTAACTGAAATTAATTGAAAAATGTGATTTTGTTAATATTTTATTTCTTATAAGGCTTAGTTTGCGAAAATTATTGGTGCCTCGACATTTTGCTAAGGAAAAATCGTATCCAAATAACCTGTAAGGAATTTTCCTATTAATAGAGTGTCCAGTAATTTTGGGACACCCTGTATACAGATCAAAAAATCCTTCACCGTGATAAAAGTACTAATAATAACGAATTGTGAATGCTATAATTTTCTATAAAAAATAAATTGAATTTGTTGAAAGTCGATAAAAAATGTATTTTTTTTTAAAATAAATTTATGAGTTTAAGTACCAATATTTTGATTGACTCTACCGATTGATAAATTCTTTTCCACAATTAAAATATTAATATATTAACAAACGAAAAGGATTTTTCAATCTGTATAGCCAATAAAAAGATTTATGGTCGAATGCAACTTCGTACTGTTATCAATAACAGAGCTTTAGAATCACCTGCAAGGGCTGAAAAGGTCACGAGAATCGCGAGGAAAATCTATAGAAAGTGGCGATAAACGAAGAAATTCCAGCTGCAATTTGCGATAAAAACGAAAGAGGGAATTTGAAAAAGTGTGAAAATGATGTGAAGATAAGCGCGAAATTAATTGCTTATATAATATTTATCGGAAATATTTATGTCACGCGAATCATTATTAAATGCCTTTTTTGCGACTAGCACGAGAGATGATTCATCTCAATATCTTTTTCATTGTTCTGGTATATATGCGAGTAATTTACCGATATCGATCAAGTTCTCTCCTATCTTATATTTGAAAGGTAAGCTTGGCTATGAGAAATTTTGCTATACCGATCGCGGAAACTAATTTAACCAGTTGCATAACTAATTTTCCCTTTGGCTCGCCGAGTAGACGTTAGCTCGGGAACTGTTGTGTTACGGTATCCGGTATTGGGGTGTACTTTAAATTCGTTACGTAGCACCCTTCAGCGACGGAAAATTTATTGCCACGAAACTTCGCGCATTGCAATTAACCGTATACGATAGGATAGGAAACAAGATTGTGACCTAGATTTTTCCTTTTCTATCAACAAACGTTCGTGCCGCAATATAAATCTGTTAGCGATACGTAATGCGATACGCGAATATCAATTAATACGAAGCAGGATCGCGAATAATCCCCAATTAAATTAAATTAAAAAAGAATCGCCGGGCTTTTAATCCAGCGATTTGTCTCCCGTCGTAAAGAGATCCCAAACTTTTCCAGTTAGGAGATATCTCAAGATTCATATAATATCATAGACTTGAGAAATCCCTGTACCATAATCTTAAGACACGGGGCTCAAAGAATCCGAACGAGATTATAAAGGGTAGTCAATAATACGATTTTATCAAGGACTTTGACAAACAGGACGATTTACTTACAAGGAAACGGTCGGAATTGTCCCTCACCGATTTAATGAGCTTTGAATATGTTGTAGAGCATTCAAAAATATTAGACGTTTAAGGGGTAAAACATCCCCTTGAAAAAATTTTTTTATTTCTGAGTTAACATCGTCGAAACGGTAAAAGATATAAAAAAATATAATTTGTAAAAGCTCTTTAATAAATTAATTAACAATTAAAAGGCAATAAGAGCTAATTAAATTTTATCAATTAGAAATTTATTTGTGAAAGAATGTATAACATATTAAATAACAGACAAAAATAAATTCGTTCGAACGTTTCGGTTGTCTTTTCCAACCTTCTTCAGCGTATACAATTAAAATTAGAGGTTAATAAAATTTTACAATAAATTACTTATAAATGTCATTATACTAAAAATATACAGAGAGAGTCAAGATATTTTATTTTTAATAAAAAAAATTAATTTGATATAAAAAATGTTTTAAATAAAAGTTTTACGGTTATTAATGTTCTTTAAAACAGAGTAATTAAATTTTTCCAAATTCCCTTTCCTTCTTCATAATTTGATTGCACTGTTTTAAAGAACATAAAAACCCTAAATCTTTATTTGAGCAACTAAAAAAAAAAAATACGGGTGTAATATTTTTCAATGCTTTCCAACATATTGAAAGCTCATTAAAATCGGTGAAGGACACTTCCGATCGTTCCTTTGTTAGATTGTACTCGAATAAGATGTCGTTCGGGATCGTGCAAATTCGCCGCGTGTCTCTGGAAGTGCCTCGATGAATCACATCTATTTCCAGTGACGGCATAAACTAGGAGGCGCCGTCTTTGAGACAGTCCAGAGATCGACAAGCGAGATATTGCGCGTGTATAGATTTCCCACCGCATTTTCAACCATCAAAGTTGCTAACACGAAGCCGCCTGTCGAAGCCATGGCTTTCCGCTGTGTGGCGGAAATTGCATGTGCATGTCTGCAATATAGGCTCGCTTGTCCCGTTCGGTCGGGAATCGACGCTGATTGCCGTTTATAATTAATTTCATCCATCCTTCGATTATTCAGAAGCGCTCGCAAACGAAGATCGATAATACGGACAATGTGTTGTTGTGAAGGAAGAGTATTTTTCACTTTGAAACATCTTTTTATATATATCACAAATTAAAATGTGCATGCTCCTTCGATGAAATTTTAATTGCAAAATTTTATACTTGAGATATTAAATGTATTTAATATTGAATATTAATATACCTTTATATATTTAATATTGAAAATGATACGTAATTACTGCATAATTAAATTCTTTCTAAAGAAAGATCAGTTACAAATTAGCCGCGTGATAATGCATAAATGAAAAACAAAAGAAATCGAGCTCTATGTATATACATATATATAAATTTTGTAAAGTTTAATTAATTTATTTACTCTACAAAAAGATTGCTTCCTACTTTTTATGTATGTACATAATCGTTCATGCTGTATTTCCGCTTCTTGTTATACATTTTCCACGATTTAATTAGTTAATGAGCAAATCCCAGCGCCGCGAAATTTTTCGAAGGATTTTAACTAATAAATCAGCGCTTGGGGCATTGAGAATTTTGCCGTTTCTAATTAATTAGTTAACAACTCGAGTTTTTTTTTCGTGTCGCGGGACTTTCAACTATACAATCTGCTGTGGACAATACGCTGATTTTTATTATTTTATAAATTGCACTTGAAAATTTAAATGGCAAAATAAATAAACCACTTTAGGATGGCCTTAATTAAATTTCATTATTCTCGATTTAATTTTAACAGATAACATATATATTATATAATATATCGTAAAAATGTGCGTGTTTTGTCAGCATAAAAGGTGATAAAAGAATAATTATTTCCGACCGTACGTAGAGAAAAAGAAATTAATTAAATCACATTTATTTCGCGAAATAGTGTGTAAAATAATTCTGTTTTTAAAAATGGTTCATTTTATATTTATTTTAATAGTACCTGATATAATCAATTTAAAAAAAATATATAGACTCGCTTAATGTTCCATTTACGGTATGACACGTCGTAAAATTGCGTTTACGTGTAATACATTGGAAAACAGATATTTTTAGCCGTTTTACTCTCTCTCTATGTGACGTGCAAAAAATGTGAGTGCTGTGTGTATGTGTGTATTTCCGTATAAAATAATTTTTCTTTTAAAACTGTTGTGCGCATTTATCGCGTGTGATTTAAGCCATTAATACAATTTCTATCCTGTACTCCGGAAAATTTCGTTGATTATCACAGAGCAACAAATACCTTTGCACACGTATTCATCTGGCGCGTGTACAATATACATATATTGCCTAAAAATGTTTGATTTGTTTATTTTAATCGCTCGTAATTTAACCGATTTATAAAATTTCAACGGTGCGCACGACAGGTTGTAAAATCACGTTTGAAAATAACGTCTCTCCGCGTTTCGCGGAGCATATAAAAGCGAAATAAACGGCTTGAGAATGCGTGGTATATAAAATCACCGAGATGCACTTCCATTTTACGACGTAAGAAATTATAATATTAATGCATCGAGACCTTTTCCGAATGAATGCATCCTTTACACTTTTCTCTAATTTTCAGCAGAATTGTAGAGATTATTTTCTCTGGATTCATTATGTAAATCGGGTATAATTTTACTCATGAGTAAAATATCGTATATTCGATGCGATAGAAAATAAATTTAACAATATACTATTTATACACTAAAAAAATTATTAAATTAATAAATATTTATTTCAATATTACCTAATAAATTATTTGAAACATATATATATATATATATATATATATATATATATATATATATCTGTTTTGAAGAGGATTTTCTTATATTAAATAAATATTTTTCACATCAAATCAATATTATTAATTTCAAATAAATGATTTATTAGGCAGTATTGAAAATAAATATTTATACGAATTCAATAAAATTTTTTTTAGTGCACGCAGAATTTTTTCAATTTATTCCTTCCATACAAAGAAATTGGATGTTATATGAAATAAGCAGACAAATATAACAAGAACTGATTTAAATATTTTTATAATATAATCTTGTATGTATATGCATTTAATACAGATTTAATAATAAAATTATACTATAAAAAATATTTTTAAGTTTTGACAATTCTTGCCATATTTACTTGTGCTCATTATGACAAGCATTCTTCTGTTGGGCTTATCACTTGTACACGCTCGATTTTTAACGTGACATTAATATTAGTTTTCTTGAAAAATATGCTATTTGAGAAAAAAATATCTATTACTCTTACCTCTTTAGGTCGTGTTACATTACGTTGGAATTTGCCATCGACATTTACGGTCGAGTCATAACTACAGACGAGATAAACCTTTCCATCCAAACCAATGACAATGTTCACACCCATCAATTTCGAATCTTTCCATACCAATTGAGTGAAATTAGAAATTACGCACGTATTTCAAATTCCTCGATCGTGGCGCGTCGTAATTGTAATACTTGTTCTCTTGATACCTGCACATCAAAACGGTAAATGAATCGATTATTGCGGAAGAGAAAAAATACGAATTATGAAATTTTAATTATAAAATTAAATTATTTCGTTCTTTAGAAAATATATTGTGTTATTTTTAAAAAATATCTAGAATAATTCTCATTAACTTTTAAATTATATAAAAATTATAATTTCTCTCTTTTATTGAAATAATTATATGAAATTAAATTATTTCCTTCTTTGTGGAGAGTATATTGTATTAATTTTAAAAAATATGTGGAACAATTTCATTTATTTTGAAATTATATAAAAATTATAATTTTTATGACATTATGAATAATGGATAATTGCATTCTTTTTTATTAATATGTATATGTTTGTCGTGATAATTGATTTAAATTTGATTTACGTGTTATTATGCTATCGTAAATATTCTAATCTGCACTAGCTATATAGTGCAAATATAGCTTTTGCATTACTTTTCATCTATATGTCAATATCTATTGCGCAAAATGCTCACCAATATTGCACCGACTCTTCGGGAAGCATTCTCCAATGCGGATGTCTGACGTACACATTTTCGCCGTATGGTATATAAGCTTCCTTCAGCGCTTCTAGATCTCTTCCCTTTTTCGATAACTCTCCGCCAACTGCTGAGCATGCTCGTTCAACTACACAATTTTAAACATGTATATATGTATATAGACGCGATAGATATTATTTAGGATATAATAATCGTCTTTTTCTCAGCGTTGTTTATTACAACATTATGCAATGACACGTAATTAAATTTGAAAAAATGCAGATTCGATCGAATTTTCAAACAAATAATTCGCAGCAGTGATAAAAAGTTATCTTACTTTTTCTTCTATTTGCAACGGCGACGAACCGTGAATGGCTCGATATTGATTGTGTACCTCCAGAATATCTTTTATGAATTTAGATGGATTTTCTCTGTATACTGAGCAAATCTCTTCTGAGCCATAAAGTGTCCCCATTTTTCGATGATTTAAATCTGATTATAGAGAGTATTATTTTTTTGAGTTTTATGCTTCCGAAACATAACATTGTCACGGTAAATTAATAAATGTTTTGAAAAAATAAATTAAATAATACGTTTACATATTATATATTAATTTTCATATTTTATGTTACATGATGATTATCAACGCGAAGGAAGTCGTATCGAGTCGAAACAATCTACATTCAACATATATTTTATTATGGCTAGATATTAATCGCATTTTTCTAATTAAATTTTAATTCATTCAGATAAGGATGCTAATTCACTTTTATGAATGGTATAATTATATTTAAATTATATATGTATATATTATATGAAAATATGATGCTGTATCGAGTATGAAATGTGTGATGTGAAACTGCGAGAAGCTTAAACTTTGTGCTCTATGATATTTATATGTTCAGACCATTTATTGTTTTCATTAGGTATGCTCCGTGTTATTCAGGTCTCTATATCTGGGGTCCGGGCAGTTATATGGTACAACTATAATGAACCTAAATTTAATCGTCGACGCGTTCGTCTATCTCAAAGATATGTAGAACGAGAAATTTCAATTTATTAAATTTCGAGATTCCATATATGTATGAGTTCCAAAATTCTAACAATAGCAATAAAAGTGGAATAGCTTTTAAGCACATGCAAGATATATACATAAATATATTTTTCTCATTTCGTTTAATCTAACCAAATGTAATAACGCGCGTAAAACGTGTAAAAATTGTATTATTCTTTGATAATAAAATCTTAAAAATTACAATGTGTGCATAAAAATATATTAATTAATTATTCAATGCATAGAAATATATTAATTAATTATTTAATACATCAAAATATATTAATTATTCAATGCATAAAAATAGTCAATATTTAAATCTAACAAAATGCGACCAAAGAAATCGAATTTTCCACAAGAATCTTTTGATTAAAATACCAGCTTTTCCATTAGATTCGCGCATCTCTATACGTCTATATCTAACTCTTCGTCTTTCTTTTTCTATTCTTTCCATTCAACTTGTACACCCCATACATCCATCACGCTGCGCGTTTCGCGCGAGACTGCTGGACTGCTCGCTGCTCGCTTGACCATGAAGTTAGGTTTCGTCGCCAGGTGGCGCTATCGCTGCGAGTTTTGTGGTCAGTAGTAGAGATCAGTCTTGTGCGAGACATGCAGAGTGGTAGACGCGTGAAATCGCGCGAGTCTAATGGAAGTACAGGTATTTTTGAAAGATTCTTGTAGAAAATTCTATTCCTTTATTCGCATTTTCTATTAGATTTAAATATTAAATATTTGTATGTATTGAAAAATTAATTAATATTTTTATGCATATCTACTTGCACAGCTTCTTGTAGAAAATTCTATTTTTTTCGCATTCTCTTAAAGATTTAAGTCTTTAATTTTTATTACATTACACATAATTAATAATATATTTTTTATGCATGTGTAATTACAATTTTTAAGATTCTATTATCAAAGAATAATGTACTTTTGCTTCACACGCGTATATATTATATTTGATTAAATAAAACAAAATGGGAAAAAATATATATATTTAGAGATATATAGAGATAAAACATATGTATATAGTATATTTTGTACCATTAATTTTATTTTGCTCCCGTCTGAGATTTCTAAGCCATTTTCTTACCAACTTCCATTAATAATGCATTAAATTTATCCTAATAATATCGTTAATTGAACTCGTTCGCCCACGCCGCGCCCATAGGTCATTTGCATAATCGATATCGCAATCGCGACAGGAGGCGTAGGTTTAACACGGAATTGCATTTCCGGCACGTCAAATCTTGATGACTCTTGTGTTCTCAGGTGCGTAGGGGTTTACACAGGCTGCAGGACGCCCTGGCCCTCGTGGAGAAAAACACCCTGGGCCTGCAAACGAACTGCGCTTCGGTTGCCGAAGAGGTGGACGAGATTTATCGGAGGCTGAGCAAGGCTTTGAAAGACCGCACGGAACATCTGCGTAACGAGGTCGATCGATACCTCGGCACCGAGCTCAGAGGCCTGATTCAGCTCAAAGAGAATCTCGAATTGGAAATCGCAAATATCCAGAGCAACTGCGATCTCGCGGAGGCGCACATAAACGAGAATGTACCTTGGGATGATGCCGAGCTGCTGGACACAAAAGAGCTCTTCCTGCGTACGGTGGAGTTTATCAGGTTTGTCGCCTCGTAAGCTTTCTTTTTTCTTTTTTTTTTTTTTTACGCTCGCTCGTTAAATTCACGACTACGGAATTCTCCTCCTATCCTCTCTCTCTCTCGTCTATTATTCCCTCCTTTCGCGACATATCCTTGTACGATTTATTATCAGCTATCTGTTCCGCGCGGCCGCGCGTTTTTACGGCGCAAACTAGAAAGAAATCGTTAAATCAAACGGCTCCCGCGAGCTATTTTACTTCAATTTCGGATCCTGCCGAAGTGACGCTTCCCTCGTCGATTCAATCTATTTTCGAGGGACTTAATGGCGTCTATGTTATTACGAAAAAACCACAACTGCCGCTACATCCTTCGTACGGAACCGTTTGAATAAAGGAATCGTAATTTTTCGTGTTTTTATATCGAGAGAAATTTATTTATTATAATTAACTCGAATATTTTTTTCCGCCTGCGAAATATGATGCAATTAATGAAAAATTAATATCATTTATTTTATCTCCCTTTTTTAAGCTTACTCGATGATATAATATATTACAGGATGTATTTAAATAAATGCGAAAAATTTTAGGAAATGATTCCACTTTTCTAAAGAGAGAGGTAGAAATTAAGTTTTTATTTTTTTCCTTAAATTTCAGACACATTAAAAAAATGAAACTTGGTGGATATTCATTAATATTTTTTTATCTTTCTGTATTGTTATAAGAGAATAAAACTAAAAAAAGAAAAAACTGTAACTTCTCAGGGTGGGATATATTTATATAAAAAACTCCCCCTTAATTTGACAAATAATTTCTAAAATGTTTCGCACTTATTTAGCTATACCTCGTATGTCGCGATATCTTTAAGTGAAAAAATAGATCATAATTCGAACAGTCGATACTAATGTGCCGCCATTGACATCAACTCCACGAATTCCTGCGGAGATTTGTGTTAATTGCACTATGAGTGCAACGAAAATCCAGAGAGCTGTTAGCTTCGTAATGTAATTAACGTTACCACACGCGTTATTATGAAACATATATAACGTGTCCGTTGTAAATTAACAAAATCAGCCGTAAATTACAGACGCAAATCGTTTGGCATGATAAAATTATACGCGCGTAATTATATTCATTAATTCAAGTATAATAATCGTGTTAAGTAAACGGCGGAAAAGGTATCGAAGGGGACGCGTGTTCCAATTGCAATGTTGAAATGGCTGCACACATTCACCGTCAGATAATACGCTTCATTAGTAATTAACATATCGAATTAACGTCGCGATTAATTTTAAAAGCTTGCGTTTCCACGTCCATAGAAATTTCATATATGCTAAATAGGGAAAAGGGGATGCAAAGTTGCACGTAATCCTTTCTGGAAGTGCATTATTTAAATGAAATCGCTCGCGCTGTCGTAACTCCGGCTCAACCGAGTAGACATGTCCGTAATCGAACAGACGATGTCGTTAACTATACGCAGTTTCTACAGTATTTGCGTAAAAATAAATGTATTCCAGATCGGAAATAAATCGCACGTTAAAATAAATTATTCTCGAGCTGGAAAAAAAGATAAATACACTTTTTATTTATATTTTTCAGGGTTGGATAAGTTAATAATTTTTTTCAAACTAAGAAGTTAAAGTTAATTGCTTATATAAAATTAATTTAGTTAAGTCAAAAGTTGCGTGAACAAAAAATTAACTCAGTTAACTGAAGTGTAATCAAAAATTAATTTTTAAAAACATTATTTATATTAAATTAGAATTTTGTTTGTTAATTCTTTTGAAATTTATAACAACAAATTACAAAGAAATTTTGATTTTTATATAGAAATACATTTTTTGGTAATTACAATTGATGACAAATGAACGTAAAAATTAATAAGTTATTAACTTTTTTAACTTTTAACTATAATTATTAAATTTTAAATTTTAACTATAATTACCTAGTTATTATCTAATCCTGATATTTTTTTATTAAATATTTATATTTTTTTTTATAAAAGATGATGCGCGTTGCGAGAAATATATTTATATATATTCGTTGTACTCTTTTATCAATTGTACGGTGAATTTAATTTATACAATCAGCGATTTGCGATGAATGAAAATGGACGATTTGTCTTTCGCAGGAATTTCGAATACGAGGCGGGAGATTACAGCCGGCGAGTTCGTTTCGTGATGGCACACGATCCGAATCAACTTGTCCTTCACGTGGCGGGTTATGGCGAATTGAACATTAAACCGGAAAGCGGAAGCGGCGGATTGCTGGGAAGCTCGAGCAGTTTAGCCCCACCCGGAGGTTCGCCCGGCCTCATGAGGAGCAAAAGTGATCATCGTCTCGCTTCGCAGTACAGGCAACAAGAGGAGGAACGGCTGGCCAGGAATCGATACGTTCCCGAATACGAGTAACTATTCGCTTGCTTTTACGTCTCTTATTCTAGGCGCTCGAATATCCGGGTATTATTTGTCGTAATAGCGATTGCGTTTCCAATTGCTCTTCTGAAATTGTTGTCGTAAACTGTTTGCTTGTCGCGGAATCCGGTTTATCGTGTTACATCTGTAATATAATATATATTTTATATATCTATATATTTTTTATTTATTTATTTATAGAGTAATTTCGAGAAAAATTATATGTGACAGTATATTATTTGTTATTTATTTCTTTATTATACTTTATGTGCATTCTCGCCGCAATAGGTTACAAATGTTCTTTGATATTATAGTAATAACATCGATTTATAAAATGGTTCAAATCTTTCTGAAAGCAATATTTGTCACACGCTTCATAAAGCTTGAAAAATACCGAAATGTCAGTCGGGAAAGAAAATCTTTCGACATGATATAAAACTGCTTCGGAAAAGCTATTTATATAAACCTCGACTTCTTCAGACCAACAGCAATCTAACTCGATTAGAAAAAACGTCTGGACGGCGAAACTATTTCTTTCGCCATTTATCAATGAAATCAATTTACCCTCTCTCCGTCAAGTCGGAGTTAAAAACAGCGGGACAGTTAAAGGAGACAAGAAACGTCCTTGGATCGTTAGAGTAAAGATCCGAGAGATCGTTACTCCTTAATTTACGGCGCCAAGATTCAGTCTGTTTTTGAAATGATAAATCAGTTGCGTCGCGAAAATTTGCAGTCTTATTTACGAGGCGAAATGTATCACGCGTCGCGTATATTTTCTGTATATGAGATGATTGTGAATAATTTGCTGTCAAGTGTCGTCCAATTGCAGTCGTCTTGTTAAAGCGCGATTGATATATATTTTTCTTCTACTTCAACTCAGCTGTATGAGAGTATAAAAAAACATACGAATATTTTAATATTTATTCGGTATAAAAATATAACAAATTAAATTGATAATATCGAAAATCGTAGCTTCTCTTCGAAGCTTTCTCTACGAAGTCCTAGATATTGAAACGTATGAATATTCCATTCGCGTAGCAAGATTAACGGTACAGATGTGCCATTAGATTGGGACGCAACGAGATGATTGGTAGGTACGTGCCTATTGCTTGCAAGTCCAGCACAGAAACACGTTTAATATATGTACTTTGTACTTCAAATATATTTAAACCAATCGAGTCTTTTATTTTCTTCATTTTTAAAACGAGAGTTGATACAATTTTATTAAACATAATAATTGCAACAATATTTTTACACACATATATACTAATAATAATTTATAAATCATTTTTTGTGATTTATAAAAAATAATTTAAAATATAATTATATTATTTTTCGAATTATAATTTTTATATCTCACGATACATATATTTTAAATAATTTTCATAAGCGCAAAAGTATTTGCGACTATTGTAACTCTAATTATATGTGATAAACAATGTAGGCAAAAGTATTTTAATTACTGCATTTCAACGATATTTAGAATATATCTCGATATAAAATAATAATTTCAATTGATAGCCACAGTATAAAAAGCTTTGAGAGATAAAATAAAATTGTAATTAATATTTATTTCATAAAATAATTGTGCGTGAAAAATAATCACGAAACTCATATAATCCAATATTAAATTCTTTTACACATTTTACATTTTTTTTACATACTTTACATGATTTAAATATATTTTAACATAACAACAATTTATTTAAGAAAACCGGATATTTTCTGAATATCTTACATGCATATATTCCAAGTTAAATTATAAATACTCGTGCTTAGGCATTCGCTCATTTTCATCTTTCTCTCTCTCTCTCTCTCTCTCTCTCTTCTCTTTTCTATTCCGACTCAAAGGTACCTTTAGCTCGGAATAGGCGCATCGGGTTTAATTGCTGCCTGTTTCGTGCAATGCCAGTCGTTAAAGGCCATCTCGTCAGTTCGTTTTATTAAGCGGCCTCGTCAAAATGTAAATTAAATGCTTTAGATACGTGCGAGTACGTATTTTTTAGTAATTAACGCTTGTGAGAGCTGCAAAGACCTACTTCACATGCGGAAATGTCCCAATGCCGTTTATATATATTTCGTTTGTTGCATAATTACGTGAAAATCGCGATCGCATTTTGCGCGATTATTATTATAAAGAAAATACAATTATCCATGTCGTCTCGTCAATTTGTCGAGCGTCCTTGAATTTAGATATCGTTGAATTGTAAATGCATTTCCGTGCGATGCATTTTTTATCGCGCGCGGAACGTGCGCATACCGCGATGTTTATTTTTGACACTTGCCTTGTGATATTCGAGCAAAAATTTCGCTTTATTCGTGCTTTTTTTTTTGCAATACGCTTCTGAAAAGCGCGCATGTTCATTCTCTCTTTTTTTTTTTTTTTTTTTTTTTTGCGTGGCGTGAAAAGCCGAAATATACAAATGCCCGTCATCGTCGTCGCAATTTCTGGCGCGTGTTCTTGCCAGCGTTTTGGAGCGTGACGATGCCTGATATCATATCATGGAAATATAGCTAAATAGTCACGTGCTTAAAATCGATAATATTTCATGATATTATAAATAGTGTGAATGCAGATAGACGGATTAAAACGTAAAAAAAGAAAAAAGAAAAAATTCTACGTGCAACGCACACGTGTACATTTTACCCATAAACATTTTATAATTGTAGCAAATAAAGAGGATTATATATTCATCACTGCGCGGAAAAAGATTTGGAATTTATGTAAAAATGTATATTCAATTACATTTCTATTTAGTCTCTTTTCTCTCTTCTCTCTCGATGAAATAATAATAATAATAATAATAATAATAATTTATTATTTAAATTTAATAACCTCTGTTATTCAGCTTTTTATAAATTTCGTTATAATACGTTTTAATGTTTGTTCTACAAATTTTACAGAAAATAATGTTTTAATATAATAAAGTATAAATTATCGTCTAAATTTTTTTTAATGTAATATATATCGTAGAAATAATTATTTTACCATAAAGGTAGAAACAAATGCAGATAGATTTTTGTGTAAAACTGCAAGATATCGACTTCTTTAATGACATCTCTTGAATTTGAAAGTGATTAATTCTTCAAGCTCGCATTTAATTTATTTCCATTCGTTTCGGACTTGATTCAGATTTTCTTGCAATTTATAATATCTATATTTTCTTCCAATCTTTTTGCATAGAACATTTTGTGGAATGAGATATTGCAATTCCTCCGATGGATTACTGATACAAACTGACTTCGATTAAAAGACTATATTTTCTAATTTTTCCATGATTTTTAATACAAACATTATTACATTATTAGATATATAATAAGAAAAATACAATACACAAAGTTTCTGAATTGTGTTAGAATTTTTATTATATAATACAGTACAGAGATTTTTTATTAGACAATAAATGAAAATATATTATATTCATTTTTTTACTAAATTGATTGAAACATGTAGATACATTTTAGTATTATTATTTCTTATAGTTTAAATTAATTGAATATCTGGCTAAAATTTTAATTTTTTTTGTAAACACTATAGTGTATTTTCCATTATTAAACGTTGTTAAAATATTAGTACAAATAAAATATTGATACATATTAAATGTCGGATTTTAAAATAAAAATAAAACAATCATATATTTTTTTCAAAGAAAATTTATTTAATCAAAATAACAACCATTAGTTTCGATATACTTTTATCAACGACTTTCAAGTGAATAAAAATCCCTTTTTTGAAAAATTTACAGGTTTTAAATTAATAAATTCTATGATTGCATATTTTTTACCGACTTTTTATTTCGAAATATTTTTTCTTTTAAAAAATAATTAAAATTTAAATATCTGAAAAAATAAAAATGAGTGAAAGCAAGTTTGATCAGTATAAAGAATGCTGTAAAATTTCATATTTCAATTTGCTTAATGTTTCGATAGCTATTTTTTAAATAAGCGGACACACGTTATCATGAAGAAGAATTGTCTAACATCTATTAAACAATAACTATTTGTCAAGTTTTTCACTTTTTTAATCGTAGCAAAAGATAGCATCAAAAAAGCTCACATGTGACTTATTTTTAAGGGACAAATCTCTGAAATAAAATTTCATAAAATCAATACTGTATAAATCATTCATTAGCAGTACCTTTACAAAGCCTTGATATTACAAGTAATTTTAGCTGCATTATTTCCTAGTTTAAACTCATATAAAAATTCCAATCAGCTTAAAAACTCATTATAATAATCAAAAGATAAATACAACAATTGACAATAATACAATTATAGATTAAATAATTAATAAACATATAATGTCTTATTATTAGACAAGATGGTAAATAAATATTGCCAAAATAAATTTTAAAAACCAAAAATCAACATATGCATCAACCAAATAATTATTACACGTACATCTTTTTATCAGAATGGAATATTAACGTAACGTTGTTCCTGAGCGCATGCTTTGGGTGCATGATATTTAAAGGGTTAAAAGATAAGATGAAAATTTCGTGAGCGCTTGAAGGAAATATCGGAGAAAATGATATGGGGGTGGAAGATAGAGATCCCCTAATATCATTTCGTCCTGTCACCGGCAATCCTCCTGAACGTCCTCTCGAATCGAACTGAGATAATCTGACTATAAAGCAGGACGCGTCTCAGCATACGTATAGAGCTTGTCATTGGTCTCTTGTCATAATTTCAAGTGACATATATCAGAGACACGTGTTCTTGTGTGCGAGATCTTCTCGCGAGAATAATAACTTATTATTCGTCTTTAGAGAGAGAAGAGAAGACGTTCTTTTTATATTCGTGCACATGATCCAAGTTGATATCTATGTCTGACCTTCGACTGACTTGATCTACTTATCGTCTCTAATAAGAATAATCAATATACATCAAACATTTCAATTTTTTCTCATATTTGTAAAGTTACACGATATTATAGTAATATTTATCAAAAATTTATTAATTGTTTATTTTGTTAGTAGATATATTAATTAAACAATTTCAAAAACTGGCCAGGTAATAAATGTAGTAACATATTCTAGAGATAACGTACATAAAAATATTATATAAAAATATATAAATAAAAAATATTATAAAATATATTATAAAAAATATATAAATAAAAAATATATAAAAATAATAAAACTAGATTAAAACAGATGGTTAGAAAAAAATGTAAACTCGATAGGAAGAGGCAATTTCTGTCGTATAAAACGCGAACATATTCGCACAATATAAAAATTAATAATAATTTTCAATGTTGGAAATAGGTACGTTATTTTTTAATTAATAGGCATATGCAATAATTATTATGCATAATATATAGATGCATGAGTCTATTTTAAATATTTTCAACTTATGTGAGAAAACATGTTCAGTGTACATAATACACATTAGATTGTAGAAAGAAACAACAATATATGTATGTTTTTTTAATTATATATATATATATATAATCCAATTAATACAATATTAAAAATAAAATAAAATAAATCTAAGTACAAATGCTTCAAGTAATATAATAATACACGATAAATGTCCAAAATTTTAAAAATATAATTATATAAATTTAATTAAGAAATAACAATTACGTGTTCGGTCCAAAAAAATCAGCTTTACTCTATTCATACGATTTCTCGAATAAACGGATTAATCGGAGAAATCGGCGAATTCTCCAGATTAGAGCGAATCAGTTTCCCTCGACGGCAATCTAATTGATCGACGTCGGCTTTTGTGTGTCGGCAGGTACGAAGCGCCGGAGTACGAGGTACCCAGGAACAAGTCGAGATACAGGAGCCGATTCATGCGACATCGGGACGGCGACGACTCCGACGGCGACTCGAGATCGACGGTGAGATTCACGTCGGCGGCGCCGCAGGAGCCGTCGTCCGGGCTGCGCGAACGTGTTCTGGACACGGAGGACGCTGCGCGTGGTCCCCTGTCCGGTATATTTCGGCTGACAGACTCGCCGCGGGTCATGAAGAAGCTGCAGGAGTGCGAGCGAGCAGGCAAGAGGAAGAAGGAGGAGCCGATCAGTCAGTCTCAGCAGCCCCAACCACCCAAGCCCCAGGTTAGAATAGCACGCTTCTCTGAGAGCCCGCACACGTGGCCTTATTCGAAGTTAAAGTGGATTGAATGCATAATTTTGTGTCGGGGAATTTGGATTCGAGGAACGCAATAATTTGTCAGGTGAAAGATTTCGTTGATTTTCAGATTCGAAAATTCGAAACTCGATCCACTTTAGCTTCCCGAACATGTCATTAACTTGAAAGTGTCTGTTGGTGCATAATATTATCCTGGAAAATATACTTGAACGTGATAATATTGTATAGAAGCAAGGAGAGGATACAGATTTAATCAAATTAGTATTATATATATTGATCGAATTATATAGCAACGAGAGAAGTTAATTGCTATTTAATTTTGATCGAAGAAGTAATATAACAAAAGCAGTTTTGCATGAATCGTATTTGAAATGCAGTGATTTGTTAACAAGAGTTTGATTATAATGTATATAATTGCTGTATTTGGTAAGTATATATTTCTACATATTTCTCTATTTTTATGGTAATTAATTTATTTGTCACGCGAGTTGGATATAAGCGGTCAAGATTTATCTGGTAATATAAACATTTTATACCTGTAATATTGGAAAATTCTCCACACAATATATTAATATCGGTGCAAAATATAACTTTTTGCATAAAAAAATGTTTCATACTTTGAATGAATATATGTATGTATACACATATACAGCTCGGGCCGTTAAATAAAAATTCAATATAGATTGAGAGCATAAGCCAGATATATTTGCCACATGAATGTATTTTCATGTAATATATGAGTTCTATGCGAGGACTCTCTTTCAGTTCCTACACATAAGCCTTCTTACATTACATCGCTCAGTTCTTATATTGGGGTATCGATCTGTTGCCTTCTGAATATGTTCAATTTTTATAAAGATACGCCATTATAATATGAATTTTGCATGTGTATGTGTGTGTGTGAGAGAGAAACGTTCTCATCCCTCGCCATTTCGGTAATAATACGTGTTCGGCCCTCCAAAAAAATCGCTACAAAATTATCAAGCAAAATAATTCGCCTTAATCGAAAGAATTTATTGAAACAGTGTTGTGCTTAAATGATATTAAAATTAGCTAGATAAAGATGAGATAAAATATTTAGATAAAAGATAAAGTTATATGGCGAATCATTTAGATAATTTATAATACTGCTTAAAATATCTGTATTCATATTTTTATTTATAAATTTTTATCGCTTGCTGTTCAAGTTCTTTTATTTAAATATTTATCTGTGCTATGATATATCTAAACCAAAATTATCTGAAAATTATTCTACATAATTTAATAAAGACAATACTTTTTTCATCTAAGATGCAGATATAGATATAATACATATTTTTATTATCTATATAAAGATAAGACGACACCAAAGTTTCATCTAGATGATCATCTATATAATTTTATTTGGATACCAGCAAACACTGGCTTGAAAAGAGACACTCTCTCGCTAAATGCGTCATCGTTACGTAATGACGAGTTGATAAAAATTCGCATCAATGAAAGCGTATCGATCGGCAAACAATTTGCCATCGGGACATTCGTGTGTTTTTTTTTACCGATGTCACACATGGTTTTACCACTGATCCATTTGTTTTTTCCCCTCGGCGTTCATATTTTAAATGTTGATGCACCACGGCGCTCAGTTGATTGAATCGAACAATGGTGCGATCGTCTAGCATCTATATGCAAACCTACCTGATCGATGTAAATTTTTTTCGCGCCGAAAAATATATTGTACAATCCATACGTACAAAACGGAGAGAAAGAGGGAGATAGAGAGAGAGAGAGAGAGAGCGTATCAGTGAATTTAATCGCTGTTCTCTGCTTATCGACACGCCGTACATCATTCCAGCGTCGCATCAATATTTAAACGACTAGACGTCGATGATACAGTTAATTTATAGCCATGAATTTGATCGTTGTGCAGTCGGCCTTGCATGCATTTTCACAAAACACTCGAAATAAAAAGCACTCGTAGTATATTATTGAAATTTCATTACACGGATGCCGATAATATATATCCATCCGGGAAACATTCAAGTCTTTACATATGACAAAGAAAATGTTTCATCCGGCATAAATTTTTTATCGCAATTTATTCATTTAGAAGAGTAAAAATTTGTGGAAAAATATATTACGATTAATATTGCTCTGAGAAAAAAAAGTAATGATCTTTCCGATTCACAAATCTTGATCGCAAACTAATATAACGAATGAAATAATTAATCAATTAATTAAGAACACGATGTAAATGGTCGTTCGTGAGTTTGACGACATCGTATTTATTTTTGACAGTGATGAACCTCCGCACTTTCGCGCACACGGGAAACCCTTATTATGGCAGGAGAAAATAAACGGATGGACACACGAACTCTCGACGCTGACGGCCGGTGCAACGAACGAAAATTTGTTCGATGTTGCGCATCCCATTGTTCGGATGATAGCGGCTGGTGTGTTTAACAAGCTCAATAAACGTACAAACACAAATGTCGGCCCGTTATACAACGCGGACCGTCATCTTAATCTATTACGATGATTTAAATCGAGTGCTGTACACGTCACTTTTACGAATTGCGATTGACAAAGTGCTAATTATTAATTGAATTATATAGCGTTTACTTGCTACGACTTTACATATACTAGCAGAGTGTATATAGATAGCTGGAAGATACATATATAGGAGAAAAAGTAATATATATATATCGAGTAAGTGTAATTAAAAAAAGAATTAAAACAATATATATATATATTGTATTTTGTATGAACTACTGCGAATGTGGAGATAATACAATAATTTTACACTTTTCATTACGTGTCATCATTAATACGCTATCCATTTAATTCCGCAATTGCACGCACCTCTATTTACGCGGGCGCATCTCCCCTTTCCTTCCCATTTTCCCGCGTAATCTCCGCACCGATTCACGTATTCGCCACCTGTCGCGTATAATGTCGCATTTAAATGCACGTGCGGAATATATCCCGATAAATCGCGCGACGCATCGTATATAGGGTTGCCAGCGCGAAGGGATACCACCGACACTCGTAAAGCCCGGGTACGTGGAGAAAGGATGCGTCTAGGATATTAGAGACGTGAAAAAATTTCACGACGGAATAAATGATCTTTTGATTCGCGCAGGTACAAGTGAGAAAGGTACCGACCGCGATGGCGAGACAGACCAGCGAGGACGACGAGATCTCCAGGATCAAGAAGCAGAACAAGACGGCGGCGGCCGTCCACGCCGAGACGGTGGAGGAGAGGCAGCCGACGTCGACGCCGGTTCCGGTTCACCCGCCGCCGCCGAGGGAACTTCCGGAACCCGAGGAACAGCCGGTCAGGAGATCCGCTATCGCCAGGTGAGCACGAAACTGTTAAATTTAATGAAAAGGTTTTCATAAAATTTTTTGTATTACACGTGCAGGCAAAGTGGCACTTTGTGTGCGTGTTTTCTGTGCGGAAAACGGCCGATTTCCCACGCCGCCATTTGGGCGACGCGGTGAGTGAATAAGCCGCATTCAAAGTCATTGCCTACGGCTGAGCCACGTTCAAAGTCATTGTCCACGGCTGAAGCCGTAGGCAATGTATTGAACACGGCTATTCCCGCACCGTGTGGGCCGCAAGATGGCGGCGTGCGATCGGCCACCTCGCGCACAGAAAACGCGCACAAAGCCAGTTTGCCTGAACTTGTAATACAAAATAGTATGTGTATCACGTGCGGATTGACAATTGTTCACTCGTGTGGGATGGTCGCACTCGTTTTCGGCTCGTGCGTCCATCTCCCGCACTCGTGACCAATTGTCAACTTACCGCACTTGATACACAATATACTATTCATAATTGCTTTTGTTGAGCTTTACAATATTTGTTTGATTTATATTCTTTATCTCATAATTAAAATGTTTTATAATTTGCGACTTGACAACTGTTACTAATTGCGTAGGGTTAACATATTTTATTGCCGTCCGTTTTTATATCTATTCTATTATTTATATGTCACAATTCTTTGTTTCACATATTGGATAAGAATAGGGATTTTACCGCTTTTATTTGCGTATTTTTAATTGTTCTTTATTTTATATATATATTAATTTTATGATTTTATATTATGATCATTATCCATGTTATTATTGTATTGAAGAAGACTGTAGTACAGTCGAAACGTTTGCGGTTTTTAATGTTTATTAGTTTAAAATAAATAAATAAAACACCTTAAGATTTATTGCTCGTTTAGTTGGCCTAAATATCAATTTATGTTTTAATTAATTTGTTTAATTTATACGAGCTTTCCAATTTTGATTTTATGAAAAGGAAAAGGCGGCAACAATTAAGAATCAATTAATATTACTTAATTATTTAATTCATTGTTTATCAGAAAAAAATTATGTCACTTAATTAATCAGTAATCAAAGTCAGAAGGTATATTAATTAATTAATATGACTTGATTATTTAATTAATTATTTGTCAGAAAAAAATAATTATTCTTATTTATTTGATTAATGAAAGTTGAAAGTCTTTTGATTACTTGAGTAATCAATGTCGAAAGTTATTTGATTATACACAGAAAGAAGCTCTTAAAAATATAATTCTCTTGTGACAGTACTCTTTTATCAAAGTTGTCATCTGTCAGACGATTGAATTTCGAGAATTTTAAAATTTGATTACTCTAATCAAATAATTTTCGACTTTGATTACTGATTAATTAAATAATCAGATAATTTGAGTAATCAAAGCTGAAAATATTATTAAAAATAATCGATGATGGCGATTCCTGGGTAGCGGACTGATCAAGGACTTAGTGTCCTACTTCAATTTTTTATTACAAAAGTTAGCAGATAAAGATAGCAGGGATTTGTGAAGCAGCGAGAGAGAAAGAAAGTATAGGTACATTATTCGCTCTTGAGAGAAAAAGTTGCGACATAAAATTCCTATAAAATATGTAATTGCGTAATAACGACGAATTAATTACGACTGAATTCATAATTCACCGATTAAATATGTGAAATAACATTAACATCCCCGATGAGAAAAATTCAAGATTATCATTTCCAAATCGTGTATCGAGTGCCGATTTAAAGACCGAATGAATACCTTTGGCAAGAAGATCCCAATGAGATTACCTACACTCGCTCGCCGAAAAGGGCCATGTATCAAGATGATAAATTAACACGGGATCCCCCGAAGGGACGAAAGACCAAAGGCGTGTTTGCTCGCGCGGATATTAATCACTACGGGCGGTAACCGCGAGATTTGCAGCCAGCTCTCTCTTGCTCCTTGGCCCCGTGTTATATCGGACTTAAGCGACGAGTTCGTGCCGTGACGTTGTTACCGGGCAAACAAGTAACTCGGACGAGTTCTCCATTCTCCGTTATTAACGTGCTTGTTTGTAATATCGCTCGCTCTCTCTCTCTCTCTCCCTCGAGTAGGAGAACTTCGGTGGAAACTCACGCTCCGCCCGCGGCCAGAAGCGCCTCATCGGACTCGAGCACCGGCTCCGAGAGTTCGGCCGGCTCGGGGATACGCAACACGGGCGCGCCGTTCACGGCCGAGGAGATGAAGCAGAAGTACCTGTCGAGGACGCCGCCGACCAACGCGTCGACCGTCGTGCCGCCGGCGCCGGCTGTCACTTCTCCGACAACCAGGGAGCCGTCAAACGCCACCGCTCCGGTACCGAGAGCGCCCTTTCAGAGCCGTTTTTTAGGCGCAGGTGTGTATATATTGGGTTTTTTTTTTTTTTAGGAAGCATGACGCGTAGCCTGAAGCCTGTATGCATAAATTAGTTTCCTTTTTTTATTTGACAGAAAGAGGCGAGATTTTGTTATACGCGATAATTTGTCGCTGTTAATTATTTAATTAATTGAATATTGTATTAATTAACTTTTAACGCGATGAGAATTGTGCACTAGATGGTTTTTTTTTCTAAAATTTTTCTCAGAAAAATAAGAAGGAATATAATGCAGTGGGTAGTAATTTAATATTCTGATAGAAAAAGGGGACATCTTTATTTATACGGGTTAATTTGTTGCTGTTAATTTAATTAATTAAATATTATATTAATTAAACGCGATAAAGATTGCTTGCACTGGACGGCTTTCTCCTCTAAAATTTTTCTCTCTAGAAAAATAAGAAGGAATACTGCAATGGGTAGCAATTTAATATTCTGACAGAAAAAGGGGAGATCCTTTTTATACGTGATACTTTGTTGCTGTTAATTTAATTAATTAAATATTATAGTAATTGAACGCGATAAGGATTGCTGGCACTAGACAGGTTTTTCCCTCTAAAATTTCTCTCGGAAAAATTGGAAGAAATAATGCAATCAGTAGTAATTGAATACTCAGCCCCCTTTTATAGCAGCTAGAAGCCGCTCTATCCGCTGCACGTTCCAATTTTCCAGATTGTGCGCCTATTATCTATTGTTTATACGAAGTGGATCACGAAAGCACGTTCTCTGCTCTGCTTTCGAACAGCGAGCACCTGCCTAGCGCCTCTATTGTGTTTCTCAGCATCTCCGACAAGCGTGAAAATTGAATGCATGAATGAACAAAATTGCTGTTTCCTTATCTCTATTTTGGATGACTTAATTTCAAGCGCAGGGAGAACCTTTTTCAAAAAAGTATCAAACTTAAAAAAAACATGAGATTACATTTAATTAATTTCTATAATAATGATATAATATTTCTTTTTAATTGCTGCTCTCCAATATCAATTTAATTGGTTCGTTGGTGGTTTCATTTAATGAATTAAACGCGTATAGATGCTCCTTTATGATAAACGGTGCTTAAAAACTTTTAAAATTATCCAGATAAAAATGAAATGAAAATATGTAAATTTATATAATAAGATGATTTTGAATTTAATTTAATTTAATTATATTTTCAAAATTGCTTATGTGAACATAGTTATAAAAAAAATGTAAATTGTAAAAGGGATATGCTTAAGTTTTACTACTTAAGTATTTTTATGTACTATGACTCTACAATAAATTATTTGAATATTATTCTAAATAATTTAATAATGATAACACTTTTTTCATATAAGACGTAGATATAGAATAATATTATTCTTATTATCTATATAAAACGATAAAATCAAAATTTTATCTAGATGATCTATATAATTTTATTTGGAGAACAGCAAACACCGACGATAAATTATTCTCAGAAAGAATTTCGGAAGAAATTGAATGTGGACATTTGACAGAATGAATTAACGATTGCGTCTGACGTAAAGCTTGTTTTGCGTTCAATCGCAAATGTCCACTCGCCCTAAATCCATCCGTATGCAAGGGGCGTGTTGCGTAAAATGCATCAGCGGCGTTGTGCTACAACCGCGTTACAATGTTACAATTCACCGGATGTTGGTCCCCGAGGGAGGAGGTCGACTCGCGCGATACTTCGAGATTTGAGAACAGGATGGATTTGCGGGACGGCAATGCGCATGCAGGCACGCGGTAATTGCATTACCCATTCGGCGTTCTCGCAGTTAACGCTGTTGTCGCCTCGCTTTTCCGACGTCACGTTCCGAACGTCACATCAAACCCACCCGCGTGTTAAGTCGAGACGGAGGGTGGCGACGTGTCTCGCCGGCGGCGAGACATGCAGACGGACGACGGTGACGATATTCGCGCGCGTTTGCCGTTTCCGACCGATTCGACAATAGATGTATATGCATGATCGATAGTCTCGCTTTTTCATCGCGTTTCCGTCAATCGCGGGAGGAAGGACGCTTCTCTCGACATCTCAGATTGCATTTGTGCACTCGCATCTCGTGCATCATGCGACAAGTGTCCCTTGTCTCTCATGTCGTTTCCGCGACTCTTGTTTCCTCGGCTAGACGTTACGATATTTCCTTACATCGAAGTTACATATACGGTTCTCCCGGATTTATCACCATTTTTTATCGTAAGGGAGAGAGGAAAAATATTTAATATCCTATATACATGCATTATATTAAAAATATATATTATTAAAAATATATATATATATATATATATATATTTAAAAATTTAATTTGTAATTATACATAAATTTTTCCAACGCTTATTAATATAGTTTTGAATCCGCATAAGTATAATAATATATTGATTTGATGGGAAAATGTTTATTGGTTTCAAATAAATTATTTATTAGACAGTATTGAAATAAATATTTATTAATTCAATTATTTTTTTCAGTGTATATATATATTAAAAATTCTTGAAAGATATTGATAATACATTTACGCATAATTGTTGCAAATAATTTTTTTCAATTTCTCTTGCGCCATCAGAATTTAAAATAAAGATCTTGCTGAGAAAGAAATTAATATCTATAATTAAGTTTCCTTGTTTTTTTTTTTTTCAGGTAATCGCGCGGCTCCGCCACCGCCGATTCAGACGCCGCGAGAGGAGCCGCCTGCGCCGAAGAAAAAGGAGGAAGAGGAAGATGAGGACGAGGAAACGAGCAGCTCTTCCGAAGAGACGGAGTCGGAGACCGATGAGGAGTCGGAAACGGACGCTCATCCGTCCAACGCCGCTCCGTCAGTCACCTCAGCCGCCTCTCAGGATCGTCAGAGAAGCGAATCCGCAATGGCACGCACCGACATCGGGCCTCTGCTCGCACGGAGTGCCGAAGCCAGAAGAGGTAGCAAAGAGGATTCACCTTCCGTCAGGCAAGTACCATCGTTTTGTTTCAAGTCGTGAATCTGTCGACGAGAGACTCAACTGATATGGGGAGATCAACTTTGCGAGATGTATTTCAAAGACTGTCTCTCTCTCTCTGTGGCAATTTAATTAATTAATATACTTGAGAAAAAATAAATAAATAGAATTGATACTGTTTCGAAACTATGGTATAAAGAATAATATTATTTATTGGAGTCGTAATAGGAATTTAACCATATCGGTTGATATGAGGAGATCAACTTTGCTTTCCTGCAAGATGTATTTCAGAGACTGTCTCTCTCTCTGTGGCAATTTAATTAATTAATATACTTGAGAAAAAATAAATAAATAAATAGAATTGATACTGCTCTTGAAACTATGGTATAAAGAATAATATTATTTATTGGAGTCGTAATAGGAATTTAACCATATCGGTTGATCACTGTCGAATTTGGAGAGACATGATTTATTACGATAAGAATTGTAAAAAGCATGGATAAAGTTGAGGATATAAAATATAAAAAATAATTTTTATTATAAAATACAAATGAAAAAGATTCGCCGTAATTAAGCACCAATTCGTGCAAGATTGAATGAATGTTCTTTCTCTAAAAAAGAAATTCTGAAATTGAGAAAATCAATTCCAATTCTCTCTTCCTCCGCTTTTTATCTTCTCGTTCTTTCTCCGCGCAACGCATCTCTTCTCGGGCCTCTATATTTTATCATTCTGCGAGCTCTCTCTCTCTCGACCAATCGAAGAACCAATCGATCAAGAATCCGGTCTGTGAATTTTCGCTATATCCATCGCGAGGAGCTTTCGTTCGCGTGTTTCGCGCGTTTATTTGCGCTCGTTTACGCGCGCGGAAGCACATATGGTACATACATACGCAGATATATCTCTCTTTTCGCGAAAACGTTCTCTTTCTCGCCGCCTTCACTCGAGAGAGCATATCGAATGCGCGGCCGCACTCGCTCGCGCTGAATTCCGAAGCGAGCCAGCCTCGAACCCACGTCATTCGCAATCTCCTCGCTCGAAACTATGGCCTAAGGAAAACGGAAAACGATCGAGAGAGAAAAGGAACAAAAAAAAAAGAGAGAGAGAGAGAGAGATCCCGTAAGTGCTCTCTTCGTTCTCGGTCTGGGGCGACTCCCTTTGTAAAAGAATCACGCGTCTCGTTCACCATCGCGCTCGCTGCTATCAGAAACTTTTCACGTACCGCTGCGGAAACTGATTAACCGCTCAGCCTGGCGATGAATCGCAATACATTAGGGCGCGGAAATTCGGGCACGCGCCTCTCCGCGTTTCTCAGAGGGACGGTAAAATGTTGCTACAATCGAGGTATTCTCCTCGATTCGAGCGATCGATCGAGCGAGCGATCTTTATCTTTGACTAATTAATTGGTATTCGGCCAACGTGCTTCGCTTCAACGTTATCTATAACGAGGAGTTGAAAACCTCGGGTTCTAAAATTTATCTGGATGATTAATAATTGTATGCTATTGCGATTTCCGGTTTGTTAAAGTGTTTCTGGAAAATATAAAATATTTATGTAAAATGTGAACAACTGAAAAGTGAATAACTTTAGAAAATCGATCAATTTTTATTTTTATCGGTTAATTAATTAATTCGATATTCTGACGAGGAGTTAAAAGACTCGGGTTATAATTTAATTGCATGGATGATTAATATATTATTGCGATTTCCGGTTCGTTAAAATATTGCGGTGAAACAAAATATTTATGTAAAATATGACAATTGAAAAGTGAAGTGGATAAATTTAGAAAATTGGTCGACCTTTAATTAATTATTTAACATTTGGACGAGAAGTTAAAAGACTCGAGTTGTAATTTAACTATATGGGTGATTAATAATTTGTTATTATTGCAATTTCCGGTTCGTTAAAAATATTTTTGTAAAATATAAAACATTTATGTAAAATATGACAACTGAAAAGTGAAGCGGATAACTTTAGAAAATCGGTCGACCTTTAATTAATTATTTAACATTTTGACGAGCAGTTAAAGGACTCGAATTGCAATTTAACTATATATGGGTGACATATTATTGCAATTTCCGGTTCGTTAAAAAATATTTTTGTAAAACATAAAATATTTATGTAAAATATGACAACTGAAAAGTGAATTGGATAATTTTAGAAAATCGGTCGATCTTTATTTTTATTGGCTGGTTATTATTAATTATTCATTTGACAACATTTTGACGAGGAGTTGAAAGATACAGATTTAAATTTAGCTACTGGAATGATTAATAATTGTGTATTATATTGCGATTTCTGGTACATTCACATAAAATATTTCTGTAAAATATGATAACTAAAAATGGAATTGGATAACTTTAGAAAAGGCGATTGATCTTTATTTCTATCAGTTGGTTAATTAATTATTTAACATTTTAACGAGCAGTCGAAAGACTCGGGCTTTAATTTAATTGCAGATAATTAATATTTGAGTGTTATTGCGGTTTCTCTAGTTCATTTATATAAAATATTTTTAGAAAATATGAAAATTGAAAATCTTTACTTTTGTCGACTAATTAATTAAATTATTCGATCAAAATATTTTGCTTCAATATTTTAACGAGGAGTTGAAAGACTCGGATTTTAATTTAGCTACATGAATAATTAATAATTGAGTATTATTGCAAGTTTCAGTTTATTTACATAAAATATTTCTGTAAAACATTATAACCGAAGTCGAATTAGATTTTCAGAAAATTCGCAAAAGAATTTCGGAAAATCAATCAAACTTTCTTTTTGTCGACTAACTAATTAATCCTTCGGCCAAAATATTTCGCTTCAATATTTTAACGAGCAGTTAAAAGACTCGGATTTCAATTTAGCTGCATGGAATATTAATAATCGAGTATTATTACAAGTTTCGATTTATTCACATAAAATAATTCTCCAAAACGCGAAAATTAAAAATCGAATTATATAACTTCTGAAAAGTAAAAAAGAGAGTTCGAAACGTAGAGTAGCGACGAACTTATTAATATCGTGCGATCTTGAGCTCTTCAATACTAATGGAAGACGCGCGATAAGCTGGGCCAGCGAAGCAGCGGTCGAAATAACGTGACCGCAATCTTGATGAGACGTGAAGATTATCGGGTTCTCTCGGTGCCACGTTGCCCGATAATTTCTCGAGGACGCAATCAGGCCAGCGCACCCCTTACAAAATTAGTAGCAGTAGTAGTAGTAGTAGTAGACAAAGAGAACATTCCGTTCACCCCTAAAAAAAAAAAATGAAAAAATTCCGACCGAAGTATCACCTCGTAGGTATTCGTCGCCGAGGGGGAGCCTCGCGCAATCCGCGACGACGACGACGACGACGATGACGGCACCGAGCGGGTCCGCTCTGACGACGACGTCGACGACGCCGAGCGGCTACACCAGCAGGTTCGTAGCGCACGTAGCTCAAACGACTGCTCACGATGAGGCCACTTCTAATTCCAGTAACCCCCACGACCGTAATCGTTTTAGGGCGTTTAGCGCGGACGGTACACGTTTTGGTGACGTTACGGTGAGGTACCACCCGGTGGCCGGTCGCGTCGAGGACGATAGTAAATTAATCGCGGTCGACGTGATCCGCTCTTTTAACGCCGACGCCGACGGGGACGCATTTAAACCGCCGACGGACATTATTATTACGGACACCACCACCGACAAATCGACCACCTCATCCACCTCCTCCCATCTCGCGATTTGCGAATTACCCGGGGGTAATTCCCGTCTCGAGGGTGGCCGCGAAGACGCGACCAGGTTAGTGGAAGGTCGTTCCGGGAACGATGAGATCTCTGAGTTGCCAGCCGCCGATCGCGAACGGGAGGGATCTGTTCTTCGCGCGGCGATACCCGATGATCATGCTGATGATGATGATGACTTCGGAAAGCAAACTTCCTTCGTTCGGATCGTCGTGGAAGACGTCGACGCTGGAGAAGTCGGCACGTCGAGTCTTCCGATCGACGAGCGCAGAGGTCGATCAAGGTCGAAGGAGTCCCAGACCGTCTCCGAGTGCTCGAGTTCCATCAGCGGGCGAACCTTGTCCGATGACAGCGGAGACTCGGAGAGCGATTCCGGGAGCGACGAGGAAGAGGTTGAGGACGACGAGTCTCGGGACGAGAACTGCAACGTGAAGAAGGAGAAGAAGGAAGAGGAATTAAAGAACGAGAGGAAGACAGGTGCCTCGACTTCCGGGAGCGACGAGGAGATCACGGTGCTGAGTGTTAGCTCGAGTCAAACCGAAGCGACACCCGAGGACCATCTCGAGAAAGAGCTGAAGCGCCGAAGCGCCTCGATCATCGACGAGAGGAGCATCGAGGAGATGTTTGACGACAATGGCTGGGTGATCACGGAGGATCTGCAGCAGGATCTGCAGACGGTGTCCGCGATCCCGCCGGGCTTCGGCTACGTGGACGACAGTGGGACCATTCCCGAGGATCCGCCGTCCAGGAGCCACGTGTACAGACAGAGCAGTCTGGGTAAGAACGGATGGCTGGTCTCCGATGAGTCCGAGAGCGAGTCCGAGCGGGCGACGACCTCTCTTGGGAGCCAGGTTCTTCCCTTTCACGAGCTAGATGGCGGGATGAGCGCGCGAAGCGACGCTAGCGCCGCGGGCGGCATCGACGAGAACGGGTGGGTGATACTTGACGACGACGACGACGACGACGACAACGACGGCCGCAGCGCGCGAAGGAGCACGATTCGTTCCCAAACGACCGACCTCGTAACGAAAACTAACGTTGAGAACGGCGGTGCAAACTTACTCGCGAACGCCACCCGGTCTAAGGGCGAGCGAGAGGAAAGAGCGCCGCCCTTGCTTGGTGCCAATGTCAGTATACCGGTGCAAATGGTAACCACCGTCTTCTGTGTGTCCGTACTGTGTTACACCGTTCTAACGAACCTGCTCCTGTAAGCTCCTCAATTCGGGTTCTCCAGTTTTTCCCGAAGACACACACGTCACCGACAAAATTGTATTCTTATCTTAACACGCCGCTTATCTTTATAATATTCCTCGAAATGGGCGCCGAAAGGATGCTCTTAATTTAAGAGACAAATTCCCGAAAAAGGTATTCTTTCATTAGATATATATATATATATATTTTATATATATATATATGTTTTTTGTCAATGTATTATTATTTATGTTACACATTTTTTGCTTATATTATTATTTTTAATATTAATTGAAGAACTCATTCATTATAAATTTAAATAATTTCAATAATTTTATTTTATTAATTTATTTTAAATTTATGATATTTATTTATTGCGGAACTGAAGTTGCAAAGAGAAAATTAAAGAATATATTCTTAATTTAAGAGGATATTTCAAAAAGCCTCATATAAAGAGGGAAATTTTCTTATTAAGAATCTCTATTAAGAGGATTTATAAAGAGAGTATGCATTTTAAGAAAATAATTTTTGTGGTGCAGACACGTTTCCTCTTTCGTTCCTCCGGCGAGCTTCATCACTCGCTTGTCGGTTGTCGACGTTGATGATGAGGGACCGTGGACCTTACACGAGAATTTGCACACACACACACACACACACACACACACACACACACACACACACACACACACACACACACACAACGAAACGGACGAGACTCTCTTGCCGCGAGTGACGATGCAGCAGTTTCCTCCCCCTAAGGGATATTTGATAGTTTCATCTTGTTTACACAAAAGGGTATTTTAATATTCATTGAAATATTATTAGTTTCAATACTATGATTAATAATATTCGAAATATTCGAGTTTCGTCAACGTGAGACATCTAATCTCTGTAAATCTAATTATAACGCTGCAATTAACTCCTGTGAAACATAATTAGTAGCTTTTTAAATTGTTTAACCCTTCAATGATAGCGCGCTTGATTTGTGATAGAAAGAGAAAATAATTTAAAGATCTTACTAATCAGTGCCAGTTATATTAAATATCATTACATGTCCGAATTGCGTTTAATATTCAATTAACTCCAATCAGTTTCAAATTAATTTTCGAAAATTAAGCATCTCGGAATCAAAGAGTAAATTAATCGAGAATTAATAGAATGCAGAATTTGGACAAGATTATAATGAGAAAATGAACAAAGATATATATACAATTTATTTAATTTTCACCTGTCAAAACACAGAACTGCTGCTCGAAACTCGCGTTCTCCGAACGCCGGATAAAAGCCACCACCATTAGAGAACGTTCATGAACGTAAAAAACAAATTAATTTACAATTGCATATGATAAACTTGCATTTTATACTTTGTGATAATCGTATATGTACGGCCGAGCGCCATTGTTCCTACAATTTTGTCGATCCGCGATACGTAATCCGCATTATTGCTCAAGTACGTAGCTTCGCGGTCGTGTTTTTGTCTATATATATATATATATATATATATAATATATAAATATATAAAAATATATATGTATGTATGCATATGTATATTTATATTATATATATATATATATATATTTATATATATTTATATATATATGTATATGTATCTATATACATATATGTATATGTTATATATTTATATATGTGTATGTATATAAATATATAAATATATAAATAAATAAATATATATATACATATGTGTATATATATAATATATAATCATTTTGTCAAGTAGCGAGGCAGATTTCGCAATTCGCGCTTCAATTCACGCTTTAAAACCGTCCCCAAAGAAATGATGGCGTCAAACGTCGGCGACGGCCCCACGTGACAAACTGTCACCCACGTGGTCGTCTCCGCGTTCGCGTCGCGCGTATCTATAATAAGTTTTTGTACTCTCTCCTTAGCGAGAAGGCTTTGCGTCACAGTTTGTTGGTGTGGTAAATAAACTGCATTTCTTTGTGATAACTCGTATTATTTATTTCCCTCTCAACCGTCCTCAGTATCAGAATAATAACAAAGGACAAAGTGTCGGTTCCCGCCTGTGCTCACAAGTTTTTGCTCGTAATTTCTTCTCCCCATTTCTTCCCGTCATTTTCTCCGAGAGGTTCTTGCAGTCTAAATTTCCTGATTTCTCATTCTGTTCAATCCTTATCCATACGTGAACCATCATTGGAATACTATCGGGCGGGATACGATATGTACGAGAAAAAAAATGCATATTTATTTATTGCACTAACAAATTGTTTGTACGTTTATAATACCATCATTGATCGGTGGACATCGGTCGATGATCGATCGGTGGAGGCGGCTGTCCAAATTTTGTCGTCCGTTTCGGAAATCTTCCGAGCGGGATCATCGAAATGTTTTTCAATCATTTTTGCAAGCACTTAAATCGCATGATGCATTTTGAATTTTTCTATTGTTGAGTTATATCACTCGTGCGTACAACATTAATTTATTATACGCGCGGTTAATGATCATTTTTTACGCAAGTATTTTTTATAAAATCTTGTACTTTAGTATCTCTAATTTTTTCATGTTTTTTAATAAGATGACAAATGAGTGTGAAAAATGTAAAAATTACTTTTGAACATTTATTCCGAATAAATTGCGAAGCAGTCTCTTGTTAAAACTGACACAGTCTACTAGCAGATTCTTTTTATATTTCTTCAAAGCGTTTAGGATACAAGTTTTCGCAATACTGTGCGTGGCATTACAAGTTTATGATATCAAAATCTCCTTTGCACATCTCAAGATACACACTCGAGCTGAAATGTTATCTCGAGAAGAAAGTCAGAAGTATTCACAAGTGGTAGAAACTGGATTGCGCGCGGTTACAAGTAGGTACGATACAAAATGTACAGAAATTTATGCTTCTGGGTAACCGATTCGAATGCCTAAATAAAATCTCTCAAAAATTCGCAACGCGTGTTAAGAGAACTTTATAGGAAATATGTAGGTGATAACCTGTTTAATTTGTTTCCACTCGTGCAAATTTGATTTTATTTTTGCAAATAATAACGCGCCGTGAAAATCAAAATATATTCAACAACTATTCAATTTCTAATAATTAATAAATATAATTAATGTGATAATTAGATATGAGTTAATAAATATAAATAAATTTTATTTTATTTTTATTTTATAATAGTGATAATAATCAAAATTTAATTTGACCGAGAATATCAATTTTATTATTTTATTTCTTTTATTACAAAACACAATATAATTGTCAGAGCCTTTTCTATTATTTTTGGAATTTTTTTTCAATCTATTTCAATTAATTTGATTGTTTCTCCAGTGTTCTACTGTAAAAATACTCGCGGCTGAAAGTGGACTATTCAATTTCTATTAATTGATAAATTTTAATTAATATTATTATAATTAAATATATGAGTTAATAAATTTTACAAATTAATTTAATTTAATTTTTATTTAATAATAGCGATAATAATCGAAATTGAATCGAGAATATCAATTTTATTATTTTATTTATTTTATTACAAAACACAATATAACGGTCCTTTTCTATTATTTTTGGAATGTTTTTCGATCTATTTTAATTAATTTTCTCGTTTCTCCAGTGTTCTACTGTAAAAATTGATTTGAATTTTTATTTAATAATAGTGATAATAATCAAAATTTAATTTGACCGAAAATATGAATTTTATTATTTTATCAATTTGATTACGAAACACAATATAATTGTCCGGGCCTTTTGTATTATTTTCGGAATTTGGTCCGATTTATGAAAATTAATTCGATCGCTTCTCTAGCGCGTTCTGCTGTAAAAATACTCGCGGTCGAAAGTGCATAACTTTACGCAGTATTCTTAGCACGTTGCGCAGTCCGCTGGCCGCTACAACAAATCGGTAGTGTCGAAACTTCGCAGCTACCACGGTAGCCATCGATCCACGGCTGCAATCTGATCTACCAGTTTCGTAAACTGGAAACTTCTTACTTCGCGACACGTCGGTTCTACCGATGCACTGGGACCCGACCTAATACGACGAAATACGAACTTAGTTGGGTGGTTCGGCGCAAAGTCATACAAACCGGGCGCGCGCGATAAACTATGTTTATGCCGCAGTTTGCGGACATTCATGAACTTTCTCAAATTCGAGAGCAAACCTACACAAACATTGTTTGACGCAATCCGAAAATTTCATCCACATCGTCCGCGCACTCTCTCCCTTCCTCGCGCAATACTAACTTTCTCCTGCGGGATGTTAATTACAATATAAAATACAAGAGAGAGAGAAATTTACATTTCCCTAGTTATTTGTGATTAATCAACAATGCAGAGCTGTTATCGTCTGCAATAAAATATGAAATGTCAAGTCTGGAGAAATTGAGTTGAATTAAATCTGAAAGTAACGTTATTTATATATGCAATTTATAACACTTATACGACTCTCTTTAATGAATATCTCTCTGAAATTTGCCGAATCTGATAATGGAAGAGTAACAGCTCTCTCCCGTCTTGCCTCTTAATAATAAAAATACTTATGAGAATAATGTGCATGACATACTTGCGAATCACAGTAAAAAAACCCTTATCTGCATATTCATCATACTCATGTATACGCAGGATGTCTCACGAATCTGTGATAAAATGTACGGCGCATCGGTGGCCGTCGATGATTGCGATCATCCATGGAGCTGGAATCGAATTAGATCAGTGGCCGTTTCGTAAGCATAGGTCTCTTTTTTTCAAATGTCAAAGCCGAAAATTACAAAAAATACGAAAGAAAAACCTGCAACAATCCGATAAGTATAATATAAACGACATCTTCCACTGGCGATGAACGCGCTTCCGGCAAGTGTACAGACCACACAGATCAGATTAGTGATTGGTGCACGAAATTAACAGCATCACTGATCTCGTTGCTTATCTCATTTAATTCATGTATAATATCGAAAGTATTTTTTTACATAATCATAATCATTTTCTAGCATTTGTCTATAATAACTGTGTAATACTTTCATCGATTCGCGACGAACAGCAGCACAGAAGCTTTATTTAATATCATCGGTGTTTGATATTATTTTAAGAAAATTATATAGATGATCATCTAGATGAAATTTTCATGTCATCTTATCTTTATATAAAATCATAAAAATATATGTAAAATAAATTATCTAGAATAATGTTCAGATAATTTTGTTTAGAGTTATAGCACATAAAAATACTTAAATAGTAGAACGAGCATAAATAAAAATATGAATATATTTTTATATCCCTTTTATATATTTTTTATAACTGTGCGTGTTTTACATAATAAGCGGGCTTAGAAATATGATCTGGAAATTCTCTAGATGAATCGCCATATATAATTTTATCCTTTACCTAGATATATTTTTTACAAAAATCACCTTCATCTTATCCAAGATGAATTTACATATTTTCATCTCATCTTGATCCAGCTAATTTAAAAATCATCTAAGCACACCACTGTTGTCAAAGTATTGCCTATGTGTGCCTTTATTATTCGTCGTTTGTATGCGCTATTAAAACCGTGAGATACATCCAAGTCTTATGGCTGCTTATGGGAGAAACTAACGTGATATGTTATAAAAATATCTCATACGTGGAGATCCCATCCGACATAACTTTCCGTACAATAGCTCACGAGACGCAAGAACTTCGTACACACACACACACACACACACATATATATATATATATATATATACAGGGTGTCCGGTAACTAACGGACCAATGATTAAGGGCGGATTCTCTGGCCAATTTGGAGACGATTTTTCCTTAGCAAAAATGTTGAGAAGTCAATAATTTTCGAGTTATAAGCGATTGAAAAAAATGGGATTTTTGAAAACTAAACGTTTTGGAGTTAAAAGTCTAACATAATTACATTCTTCAGTTAATTTCAGGTAGAGTTTACTATAATAAAATTTTAATTTGAGGCTTAGTTATAAAGATACATAATGACAAATATTGGAGAGTTGTAAAAAATGATGACCTTTTTCGACATTTTCGCTGAGGAAAAATCGTTCCCAAATTGACCAAAGAATCCATTTGTAATCGTTGGTCCGTTAGTTACCGGACACTCTGTATATATACATATATATTTATATATATATATATATATGTATGTATAATGCGGACAGCGAATAGATTCGCGGGCAATCAAATGCAAATCTCGCCCTCGTAAGCTTAATCCTATAAACGAGACAGTAATACCGACACAAAGTCTACCGTCGTGTATATGAAAAGCAGTTAGCTCCTTAACCTCGTTACTTTGTTCCCTCCCCGACTCATTAACGTATATGCAATTTACGGCACGCTCGTATTATTGTGCCTTTTTAAACGTAATATACGCGCCTCACTATCGCATAAATAGCCTTCTCGTCGGACTGCGCGGAACCAAAAATTTTATACAATATTATCGATGCGGCGCACTAACTCTAAAAATGTGTCCTACACTGAAAAAGAAAATTTATTGAATTCGAATAAACATTTATTTCAATGCCGCCTGATAAATCATTTGATTTGAAATTAATAATATTGATTTGATGTGAAAAAGATTGATTTGTATAAGAAAATTCTTCTCAAAGCAGATAAATATTTATCTGCTTTGTTTCAAATAAATAACTTACTCGGCAGAATCGAAATAAATATATTGATTAAAATAAGTTATAAATTAAAAGGCCAACTTAACGAGCTGATTAATTAGGTGTTAACAATTTATTCTAAGTCATGAAAATAATACAAATTATTTGATTTATGGATATGTTAGCAAAGCGATATTTGTATTGATAAAGACTGTCGTACAGTCGAAACGTTTACTAATTATCATTTGTATTATTTTCATGACTTAGAATAAATTGTTAACATCTAATTAATCAGCTCGTTAAGTTGGCCTTTTAATTTATAACTTATTTTAATTTTACACGAGCCGAATTTTATTTCTCATTATATATATATTGATTAGTTTAATCTCTTTCTTCAGTGCAATAAATATCCATAAGAATATATCTCCATCAAATAATGTCGAGTATATTTCTTTCGATCGAATACATTTTTAATTGACGCGATACACACACCTACACATATATATACACACACACACACATACAAAAGGAACCCGATCCTTATTTCAAAGACGCGAAATATTCAAATTTTCAATTTTTTGTTTCTTTTCCAAATGGACCGCGTTACAGATGTATATACGCATTGTGCGTGTCGAGAAGTATTTTGGTTGCACGATATCGAGTCCGTGCACTCCCTTGCACAAGTTTGCGTTCGCGGCACGCATGTGCACCGAAATAGCCCGATGCGAGGCTCTCTTCGAAAATACGACCGCAGAGATCCAACTGCTCGTTCACAATAGGTATCGTCTTTCCGCGCGTATGTCGTCGAGGTCGAGACTCTCCAATGTTCCAAGGGTGTGCGATTACCCGAAATCTACTCGAATTTAGCTCGAACAATTACGCTGGCGAAAGATGGGCGAGAAAGGCCGAGCGCGCTCGAGCTCGTCGCTATTATCGTTGAGCTTGATCACTGGAAAATCGAAAGAAACGCGAATACCTGCAGTCCGTTTGAATCGTCGGCCATTGCGAAAATTCGAGGGAAATTTCGGTGATTCGAACATTTACGTAAAGACGCATTAACAGATGTATTTTTAGATGTTGTATAGTACGGAGGATATTTAGAATTGTTGTTTTAACTTTCTTACTTATATCATTAACAAAACGTGCTCTCTTTTACGCTTCTCTCCGTAAACAGTCTATATGTATATCATTTAACAATTACATAACGCAAAAAAAGATATGAGATCAGATCACATTGCTTTTTCATTTTCGCGTTGCTTATTATCTCATTGTATATTTTCTTATTTGTCACTTGTCGAGGTAATTGTTGAATGCATACGCGTTGAACCGAATTATTTCACTCTCGCGGAAATAACTCTGCGTCGCAGAGAAATCTACGTTATATAACAGATGCTTATAAGACATAAGGAAATGATTATAAGAATTTTTTAATTGGATATTTTCTGGAAAGTTTTATTAATTATTCTTTCAAATAAATATATATATTTTTATTTAGTTTATAAAAAAATAAGTAATATATAAATAATTATAATAAGTAATAGTATATATTTCAGAAAATATCAAATTTAGAAATTATTATAATAATTTTCTTATATATATATATATTAAAAAAATATAAATTATCCTAAGAGATCTTCAAAAATATATAAAGATTTGAAAAATATATCTAGATAAAATTCTACAATCGTTACCCTCTGGATAAAAAATAATGACTTCCGCAAGAGTGAAATAACTTGGCAGTCTTAGAATAAAAGGAGATAAAGTCTCTATACGCAGACGAATTAAGCGCACAGTCTCGTTGATGTTTTAGATTCCTCAACAAGAGCAGGAGCCAGGCGGCGATGATGGCGTCTCGCGAACGGGACCGAGAACGGGATCGAGAGCGAGAACGCGAGCGCGAGCGCGAGCGAGAACGCGAGCGAGAACGCGAGCGAGACGCAGAACCGGAAGTCGACTCACCCCTATCGGCGAGGTCTCGCTACGCGGCCCTGAAGGAGCGCCGGCAGCGTCTCGCCCGTTCCAGGAGCTCGCACAACTTCGGCGGCGACGACCTCGACCTGGACGAGGAGCCGCCGTCGCCGACCACCCAGTCACCGAACGCCTACCTCGCGGCCAAATACGGCGCCGGCTCGGAACTGGCTCGTAGCCGCAGCACTCACGCCCTGAAGTCGAGGGAACCGAGCCCGGAACGCGACCGTCCGGGCACGGAGAAGGACGGCGCGGCTCTGAGCTCCTGGGCCAGGTACCTGAAGAACAAGTACGGCAACCGCACCACCAAGGACAAGGAACCGCCATCCTCGTCCTCCACGATACCCTCGTCCAGGTGAGGCTTCAATTGTGATACGATTCCCTTTCGGTGTGCGCTGTTATCCGAGTAAAATTATATGGATGATCGTCTAGATGAAACTTTGACGTCCCATCTTATCTTTATACAGGGTGTCCGGTAACTAACGGACTAATGATTAAGGGCGGATTCTCTGGCCAATTTGGAGACGATTTTTCCTTAGCAAAAATGTTGAGAAGTCAATAATTTTCGAGTTATAAGCGATTGAAAAAATGGGTTTTTTGAAAACTAAACGTTTTGCAGTTAAAAGTCTAACATAATTACGTTCTTCAGTTAATTTCAGGTAGAGTTTACTATAATAAAATTTTAATTTGAGGCTTAGTTATAAAGATACATAATGACAAATATTGGAGAGTTGTAAAAATGATGACCTTTTTCGACATTTTTGCTGAGGAAAAATCGTTCCCAAATTGACCAAAGAATCCATTTGTAATCGTTGGTTCGTTAGTTACCGGACATCCTGTATAGATAATCAAAATATGTATTATCTATATCTGCATAGAGTTTGACAGATGAAAAATGTATTGTCTTTACTCAATTTTCTAGAATAATTTGCAGATCATTTTGATTTAGAATCAGAGTACAAAAACATACTTATAAATAGTAGAACTTAATCTTTTATAATTAACATTTTTTTACAACTGTGTTTACATAAGCAATCTTAAAAATTATTATCTAGAAAATTATCTAGAATCGCCATATAATTTTATCTTTTGTCTAGATATATTTAAAACAAACTCATCTTCATCTTATCTAAGATGAATTTACATATTTTTATCTCATCTTTATCTATCTAATTTTAAAATCATCTAAGCACAACACTGTTCGATTTTGAGATGAACAAATTCATATGAAACTGCGATTTCTGCATGGAGAGAATTTTCCTTTGTTATATTTTACCGCAAAATTTATTACAAATTTTGTCATTTTTGGTAATAAATCGAAAATTATCATGCTGCATTTAATAAAATAAAATTATCATGAACGATTCAGTTGGATTGCTGTACAATTTATATTTTATATAAATTGCTGTATATTATATTAATAATATACTGTAATATATGCTGTATTGTACAATTTATATAAAATATTTTATATATTTATTATTTTTTTGGCATCTGTTCTATTTACAACATTTAATAAATCATATATAAGTTTTTAATACATTTTAAAATTATTAAAATTTTACTATGTATTTTAGTGAAATTATTCAAACATATTGTATATATCTTATTATTTCTCTCGTTATATTTTCTCGCAAAATTCATTACAAATTTTATCACGTTTAATTTAATAAAGCGAAAATTACCATGCTGCATGTTAAAATTGTCACGAATGATTAAATTGGATTGAAAATATTATGTTGTATTGAAAAATTTATATATATAATATTTTATATATTTATTACATTTTTAGCATTTATTCTATTTAAAACACTTAAATAATCATAAGTTTTTAACATATTTTAAAATTATTGAAATTTTACTATATATTTTAGTAAAATTAATCAAACATTCCTTATGATAGATATTAATATTCTTTATTGTGCTAAATATTAATCAAAGAAGCTCTCAAAAAATTCTTCCAATTCTAAGAGAAAATTCTCTCTGCATGAAAAAGAGCGATCTAATTTTCCAAATTTACATTAAAGGATAAATCTATCATTTTACATAAATAAGAGAAATGTAAAGAATATATATTAATTTATTGTCTACTTTCCATAACGAGTACAAATCGCAGATAGCACGATCACGTTATGGTAGACGATAAGCTTTAATTGCATCGTTGTACGGGGGATGATTCGAAACATTAAACGCACATTAGAATTGGTACATAGATATAATACTGACAGTATATCATATATTTATTATACGCATGAAACGCGCCGGATTATCGCGAGAGCGCAGTTGTCATCAATTATGACGTGAAAGACATTATTTAAAGTAATGGTTCAATTGTTACCTGTATTATCATTGAGATCTTCGAATTTCAATTTCCTTTCGAAATCATTTTCACAGCTCCAGCGCGGCCTCGAGAAGGCTGTCGTTGGGCTTACCTCTCAGACACGCCGGGCAAACGTCCTTCGAATCTTCTGACGACGATCAAAAAAACCCGTCAGGCTCCCCCACGTCCCCTACAGCAGCTCCCGTTACACCCGCGGCAGCAGGTTCCTCCACTAGGTGAGTCTTCGACATCTTCCTATTTTTTTTCTTCACAAATGTTCTTTTAATGAGAAAAAATATACAGGGTGTCCCGGAACTAGTGGTAAACCTGTTACGATTTTTCCTCGACGAAAATCTCGAGACATCAATAATTTTCGCAAACTAATTGTAAGCTTTGTGGAACAATAATAGTATATTGTGTATCAAGTGCGGAAAGTTGACAATTGGTCACGAGTGAACAATTGTTAATCCGCACGTGATACACATACTATTTTGTGTTACAAGTGCAGGCAAAGTAGCTTTGTGCGCGAGGTGGCCGATCGCACGCCGCTATCTTGCAGCGGCGTGGGAAATCGGCCGCTTTCCGCACAGAAAACACGCACACAAAGTGCCACTTTGCCTGCACGTGTAATACAAAATATTTAAAAGATCATCACATTCTTTTATTAATTTCATCCCTAACAGCGCACATATCCTGAAGACATTTAGAGAATATCCTGAGGATGTTCGAATGTCCTCTGGATATCTTTCGGATATGTTGTGCTATTAGGGATGTAGAGTTTACTTTAATAGAATTTTAATTTAAGGTCTAAGTACGAAGATACACGATGACAAAAATTAGGACGCAAAAAAAAAATGATGGTCTCCCTCAACATTTTCACTGAGTCTTCAAATGACCTGCCATTAACAGGTTTACTATTAATTTTGGGACACCCTGTACGTATTGAAATGCTTGAACTTTGCTCTCGAAATTCTTTATTTACTTCGAAAATGAATATACGGCCCGCATAAATTTTTCCCACGACACGTTGTCCGAGTAACGTAACGGAGAGTTTCGTAAGAGAACGCGACGCGTACTATGATCGTTAAAGGAAAACTTTCAAAATATATACCTCGGACAAGAGAGAGGATCTTCGTTGAACGTCGCAGAGAGTCCGGCTCTATCGCAATCACAAAACACTTAATCCTCGTTATCCTAGTTGCGTTACAGGGACTCCTCGCGCGGCTATAATTCTCGAAGATCTACCGCTGTTTCCGCCCGAGTGAAACATCGCGTTTTTTTTCTCTCTCTCTTCTTTTTTTTCTCTCGAAAAGTGGATTTGCGAAAAAACATTCTTTTAAGAAACAGTCGACGCGCAATGAAGATATACACGGAGAGAGTACTACTATTCGAGTTTGCCTTTTGCCTCTCTCTCTCTCTGCACGCGCGAACTCTTTTTTCCTCGACGCCGCGATAGGAAAGCCTTCGATGGAGGCGTCTCTCGAATGAAGAATTACTACCCCTTATCGCGTTAATGCTCGCGCGTAACCGCACGATTGACCACGTGACCACGAGGCGCAGAAATTTCCCAGCCTCGCGGAGTAGTGATTTACGATCTGCGGGGCAGATTGGGAATCCGCTTAACGAGCTTTCATTGACCGCCTCTGTCGATCGATTTCCAGCAATGGTCGGAGGAGTCATTACTTGCTGAAGCGGCGGCAGCTGTTTAAGTTTGGGATGCGGGGGAGCGAAGCCGGATGCTTTACCTGGCCGAGAGGCCTCGCGGTCGGACCTGACAACTCCATCGTCGTGGCCGACAGCTCCAATCATCGTGTTCAAGTAAGTCGTTCTTTATCGAATCCGACCCGCGAATTCGATTGTGTTTCAATCCGAGCGAGACAATTAGGAAAAATCCCCCAGTATGATTGGGTCCATATATATATAATTATTGTTTGAAAATATTTATTAAAATTCTTTTTATTATTTGCGTACAAGCGAAATTATTTGACATTTTTTCTACAATATAATTTCTTCTATTTATTTAACATTTTTTAATAATTTTATTCGACAATTTGTTTTATTTACTAAAATTTATTTTTATTATTTGAATCCAAGTGAGACAATTGTGAAATTTTGCCCGTATGATTAAATGAATAATTATTTGGAAATCCTGCGAATTCGATTACGTTTCAATCCAAGCGAGACAACTGCGAGAAATCTCCTCAGTGTGATCGGATCAGTAATTATTGTTTCAAAATATTTTTTTATTTATTCAAATCTCTTTTAATTATTTGCAAGCGAAATTATTTGAAGATTTTTGTTCTATAATAATCTTTTATTTATTAAAAAATTTTTAACTAAAATTTATTTTGATTATTTGAATCCAAGTGAGACAATTGTGAAATCTCTATGATTGGAATCAACAATTATTTGCAACTTTCTTTTTTACTTATTTATTAAAATCTCTTTATTTATTTATTTTGAAAATTTTTGTTAGAAAATAAGTTAATTCTAAGAAATTTAAAAAATTGCATTGCGTTCTGTCACAATCTCTTTCGAAAATATTTGAGAGATACAAAACTACTGACAGTAGCTCCAATCATCGTGTTCAAATAAGCCACTCTTTATTAAATCTCTCGAAATTTGATTACGTTTGAATTCAAGCGAGACAAAATTGTGGAGAAAATCTCTGGCATATGATCGAATCGATAATTATTTGAAAATCTTGTTTTATTAAAAAATCTCTTTTAATAAGTTATCTGAAAATTTTGATTACAGAAAAAGAATTTTATTGTCAATTCTAAGAAACTTTGAAAGCTGCGTTGTGTGTTCTGTCGCACAATCTCTCGAAGATATCAGAGAGCTACAAACTAACTCCACTGACAAGAACAATACGAGGTTCGATAAATCAATTGCGTCGTCCTCGAAGCGACGTAATAGTTAACTGGTATATACCCGTAAAGCGGAAGTACGGAGGCTTTAAAATTTCACGGGCATTTCGTATATACGTATCGGAGGATCATAAATAAGCCGACCTCGACTGCAACGGCAGAGGGAAAGCTCTCTCTCTCTCTCTTTCTCCCAGGAACGCGTTATATTACGGTCGGCCGCGAAACGGCCGATTTTAATATCGGCGCGGGATCGATATAAACGACGCTGTATCGTTCGGGTGGTATCGTAGGTATTCGACGGTAATGGAAACTTCATGAAGGAGTTCGGAACGTACGGCAGCGGCGAGGGCGAATTCGATTGCCTCGCCGGGGTGGCCGTAAACAGGATCGGGCAGTACATCATCGCGGACCGCTACAACCACAGGATCCAGGTGCTCGATCCGTCCGGCCGTTTCCTGCGAGCCTTCGGCTCCCAGGGCACCGCCGACGGCCGGTTCAATTATCCCTGGGGCATCACCACCGACGCCCTCGGATTCATCTACGTATGCGACAAGGAGAATCATCGCGTACAGGTGCGCCCCTTTTATTAATCGCACATTTATTTAGTAGGAATTTTTTAGTCTTTTTTTTATTTTATTTATTAGGTGTGAAAAGAGCCACGCATGCGACAACATTATTTTTGAATCCCTCTATATTTATTTTCGACGTTTCGCTTCTTTCTTTCGATCTGCTTCAGAATATTATTAGAATATTCTAATATTATAATTATAAAAACATTAATTTCAAATTTTATTTAATTGATGGTTTTTATTATTTTAAAAAATTTTATTTATTAGAGGTGTGAAAAGAGTAAGGCATGCGACAAATTATTTTTCAATCCCTCTATATTTATTTTGAACGTTTCGGTTCTTTCTTTCGACCTGCTTCAGAATATTATTAGAATATTCTAATATTATAATTATAAAAACATTAATTTCAAATTTTATTTAATTGATGTTTTTTCATTATTTTTTAAAATTTTATTTATTAGGTGTGAAAAGAGTCAGGCATGCGACAAAATTATTTTTCAATCCCTCTATATTTATTTTGAACGTTTCGGTTCTTTCTTTCGACCTGCTTCAGAATATTATTAGAATATTCTAATATTATAATTATAAAAACATTAATTTCAAATTTTATTTAATTGATGGTTTTTATTATTTTAAAAAATTTTATTTATTAGAGGTGTGAAAAGAGTAAGGCATGCGACAAAATTATTTTTCAATCCCTCTATATTTATTTTGAACGTTTCGGTTCTTTCTTTCGACCTGCTTCAGAATATTATTAGAATATTCTAATATTATAATTATAAAAATATTAATTTCAAATTTTGTTTAATTGATGTTTTTTATTATTTTAAAAATTTTTATTTATTAGAGGTGTGAAAAGAGCCAGGCATGCGACAAAATTATTTTTGAATCCCTCTATGTTTATTTTCGACGTTTCGGGTCTTCCTCTGGACCAGCTTCAGAATATTATTAGAATATTCTAATATTATAATTATAAAAATATTAATTATAAATTTATTGATTAGGTATTTTTTTAATTTTATTTATTGAGCGTGAAAAGAGCCAGACATGCAACAAAATTATTTTTGAATTCCTCTAAGTTTATTTTTTATTTTGGATTTATTTTTCGGCTCTTCCTTTGGACTAGCTTCGGAATATTAATTAATAAAAATAATTTGGTTGCATCTTTTCATATCTAAATTTATATAGAGCTTTTTCCATTTGTTCTGTTATTAATTAATCAAGCCACGACAAATAGCTCGATTAATCGGTTGACTCTTTCGGGAGATCAAACACGCTGTTTTTTTATTTTTAGTGGAATTTTTTTTTTTCAATGTGTTTTAGTGGCAATTTGTTTTTTTGTTATCGACAGTGTGTTCCACAGACCGTGTGAAGTATCTGATAAAATATACGTACATGTGTGTATGTCGCGTTTCAATTCTTCTATCCTGCAATCGATATTTAATTCTTCTGTCAATGTATAATTTTTCATCTTCCTATCTACTGCGTGTTTTCGATACATTGCACTGCGATCATTTTTGTTATAATAGCTGCTGCCCAATTTTTCTCATTATTTTTTATAAAATTGGCGAATAAAAAGGCTCTTTGTGCTTTGTTTCGGGCAGAGAAAAGTTCCACACATTTTTGACATTTAAAGTTTCGATATCCGGGTAAACTTTAATAAAAGGGTTGAAAACGTATTTTATTATTATATATAATAATCAGTGTTTGCTGTAATCTAATTAAAATTATATAGACGATCATCTAGATGAAATATGGACATCATCGAAAGCTTATAAATAAAAGTATGAATATATTTCATATCCCTTTTATAATCTACATTTTTTCATATCCGTGTTTTTAAAGGCGGTCTAATATCTGAAAATTTTATCTTTTATATAGATATACAATAAGTACCCTCCATAAGTTTGGAAACACCTTTTATTTTACAGTTAAACAATCGTATGGCAACGATCTGCGTAGATTTTTTGTATCAATAAATCGTTAGATATTTAAATGACATTTTTATTTATGACAGATCAATGCCATGTGATTGTTTAACTGTCAAATGTAAAGTGTTTGCGAAGGATACTGCATGCAATAAATAACTACGAATATCTGATTAAAGAATATTTCTTTAGAGAATTTATCTTTTAAATCAAGAGGATCCTATTGACAGATCTGTGCAGATTTTTTGCATAAATAAATCAATCATTAAATGACATTTTTATTATAACAGATCGAAAAATCTAAGGTGTTTCCAAACTTATGGAGGGTAGCAAAAAATCCTTTGAATTTTCATCTCATCTATCTAGCTAATTGTCCAATGATCCGATAATAGAATAATATTGTTTTACCTAAATGACAGGTATTTCAATCGGACGGCACGTTCGTGGGCAAATTCGGGTCCTGCGGCGGCGGCCGCGGCCAATTGGAGCACCCGCATTACATCGCGGTGAGCAACACAAATCGGGTGATTGTCAGCGACGGTAATAACCATCGCGTCCAGATATTCGACGTGAACGGCCGCGTGCTGACGTCCTTCGGCTCCGAGGGCTCGGACGACGGGCAGTTCAAGTTCCCGCGAGGCGTCGCCGTGGACGATCAGGGCTACATCGTCGTCGCCGACTCAGGTAACAATCGCATACAGATCTTCAGTCCGGACGGCGCCTTCCTCAAGTCGTACGGCTGCTGGGGCAGCGGCGACGGCGAGTTCAAGGGCCTCGAGGGCGTCGCCGTCACCTCCGCCGGCAACATCGTCGTCTGCGACCGCGAGAATCACCGGGTCCAAGTATTCTGATCGACGCCGACGTTGATCTCTGGAGGACGAAAATCCACGAACTCTCTTTCGCCCTTTTTGCCGAACGGATGCGCGCTCCGTAATATTCATTCGCGGTTATTAATTTTATTGTTAATGACGAGCGAGTAAAAAAATCATATATTATATGCGAACTATACGTCGTGCATTATTTGGACGTTTGAAGTCGACGTCTACGAGAGTCCGTCTGATGAATATCTCTGGAGTCAGGATTCGATAACTTTGAATATTCGCGCCATTGTGCCTTTTTTATCTGAAATGTGTAACTAACATTTAATAAAGTAATAATAATAATAATAATAATAAAATTAGGAATTGTGTGATAAGACTTGAAAAATTTCAACATCTTGGAAAATGAATTATTATAATATAAATCTTCTATTATTTATATGACATATTGTCTCGGGAAAATATGCAAAGATGAATATCGTAAATTAGAAATATTCTGCAAAAATATTTTAACAAAGTCTTCGATAAATCGAGAGTGAGATATGATTATAATAGATTGTTTGATTAGAGAATATATTAATTTAATGTTTTATCTTGTTTATTTTAGGAAAATCACACTTTATCAAAATCATTATGAAACTTTTCGGTATAATTTTCTCTCTATTGTCTGTGAAATAACTCTCATCATCTGAAAACAAATGTATCGCCCGCTCCCTTAATACTTTTAATAAAATCATACTTTTAGCAAAATATTTGAAGAAATACTTTTTCGGCACGAACAAAATCTACTGTCACAAAATGGCACTAATTGCTTATTTTTTATGACGAATGATTTTCGGCTGATTGATTCGCGAGATATTTAATTTAATATCTTTCTATTAGCGTTAAAAAATGCATAACAAAACTCGTTACTTGTCTTCGTCAATTTTGATGCAAAGTTAACTTTTGGCTATGAAAAAAGAATAAGATTCCAAACAAAATTTTAGTACTTTTCCTTTTTCTTCTTCTTTTTTAAATTCTATACTTTTGATAGACTCGATGACACAAAAAAACAGACCTACATCAATCAACCAAATGGAAAACATTTTAAATATTTGTTTCTGTATTTTAAATCAATTTCTTTCTCTCGTCAAAATTTTCCAGAGATGCCATTTGAACGTTTCCGTTTCTATTTCCGGAAACACATAGATCTGTCACCGATTTTTTTTTTTTTTTTTGATTTGTTGTGCGATCATTCTTCGCATCGCTTCGATGAATGTTGCATTCGGTTGAAGCGACACCGGAAGGAAATTTCGGAAATGGCCGAAGAACGGAAATTTGTAAAAGCAATCACATAAACGAGCAGAACAACGCGCAAATAAAATCGGCAAATTTTGAATTCTCGAGAAAAATCTTAAACGCCAGTCGATTTCCTCCGCTCGGCAGTTTTGAAAATACAATTTTTTTTTAATCTTCACATCTCTCCCTCTAACTCTCCTTCTTATATACGTATATGAACACGGTAACAATGAGCGACCAAATTTAATTTGTACTCAGAGCAAGTAAAGTTTGTACCGTTTGTATGCTTTGAAATAAACTGTTGCGGAAGGAAGTTGCGATAAATATAAATTTCTCCCGAATCATTCCATCTCTTCGGATAATATATCTTTTTGTCGCGACATATGATTATTTATTCGCGTTTTCTCGTACAAAATGAACAGACACTTGAAACGCTAGATACAAAACGAGAAAGGATTAATTCCGCGTTATGAATACGGTCGTTAAATTTAGCGGTCCTAATAAAGTCCTAGTTCGACTTTGACGAACAGTTGGAACTGGAACTTTGAGCTCTTCGCATCAATAGAAGCTCTACAAGCGACTTCAGCGACGTATCCTAAGATCATTATTCGCCTGGGTATTCCTTTAACTTGCCGTAATTGTGTTACTATCCAGTTTAAACGCAACTACAACATCCAACACTTATATTAAATTAGCTCGCAATCAGTATTTTATTGCAAAATTGATTAGCTAAGCCAATTTACTGACAAACATAACTCAGATTTATTCTTCTATTCTTATCGAACTCTCCCTCTATTTGTCAAATCATCTTAACAAAGTATCTCTACTCGGATAAGATTATTATTTGTAATTAATTAATTAAAAAAGATATACAAATTTTCTACGACTCTTCTTTATATTTCCTTTTTAAATATTTCAAAACTAATAACCAGGGTTGGCTAAGCTAATGATTTTTTTAAACTGAGTTAAGTTGAAGTTATAGTTGCTTGTAGGATTAATTTAGTTAAGTTAAAAGTTGACAAAAAATTAATTCGATTATAAAATTAAGATTAAATTAACTAAAAAATCAAAAGTTATTAAATTAGAATTTTCTTTGTTAATTCTTTTGAAATTTATAATAACAAAGAAATTTTGATTTTTATATAGAAATAATTTTATGGTAATTTTAATTGATAACAAATGAAGATAAAAATTAATATGTAATACTCTAATTTAATACGTTTATAAAAAAAGCAATAATGGTATTCAGAGATGAAAAAATTTAACTTGGGAGGAAAGTTAACAAGTTTAAAGTGAAAAATAACTAGTTGAAATTAAAAATTCATACTTTTTAAATGAACTAAGCAAAGTTATTACTTTTCAACTTCTTTCTTAACTTTTAACCAATTAACTAGTTATTACCCAACTCTGTTAATAAAATACCGATATAGTTAGACACCTAAAGCCTACAATATTATCCTAAATATTCGGAAAGGAGATAAGGGAGGCGAGATGATCGCAGAGAGATCACATACAGAGGAGGAAATGGGGCCGCAAGTGAAAAGGTGAGTGAGTCAATAAATATATAATTTATTAAATGCAATGATGAAATGGTGTAACAATAGAGGGGCGGGCGAATATGGCGACCGGTGTTGGAAGCCACGAAGGGATGGACAAGAGATAATACGCCATCCCCCGCCCTGGGCCCCCCCGGAGATCGGAAATATAGATAAAATATTTTCGTTATTATTTACAATATTAGTCGAACGTTAGTCAATAAATAATAAACAGTGGCATAATCCCTTTATTTTGATAATATATATAATTTAATTATATATATATATATTTTTATATATTTATATATTTATATATATATATATATATATATATATATACATATATATATATATATATATATTATACGCTTGCGATAATAAAAATATTACAAGAGAGATGGAGCCTTTTTTTACATCGTTATTCGTTTCCACTAATAAAATCTAGCACGGTTACGTGCCACGTCTAAACGCCGTCCTCGTTCCAAAATTTTCCGGCGCGATATTTCGGATTCCCTTTTTTCCGCGAGGTTTCCCGCGGTGTAAAAATCGCCCCCGAATTTTTTTGGAACGCGGAAACGTCGTTGTAGATCGGATTGATGCCGAAACAGCCGTCGAAACCATCTCACATCAACATTCCGGGGAGAGAATCGCTCTCTCTCTCTCTCTCTCTCTTTCTCTCTCACTCTCTCTCACTCTCTCTTTTTTCCCTATCGCGAAAAAATCAACGACGGGACTGAACAACGAATGGTAAATCATCTCGATTCTCGACGCTCTCGCGAGCGAATAATCCTCGCAAGCGCGCAAACCGGATTATCACAACGAAAGTACTCGCAGCATGCATACTTGGACGTTATCAATCGAGTCGAGTAAATGGGGTTGTGTATGTGTGTATATATGTGTGTGTGTGTGTGTGTGCGTGTTTCGGGTTTTTAGGTGAACGCCGCCACGCGAGACTAGGAGTTGCGTCGTGTGTCAGGATCAGGCAGGCAGCAAGCAGGTACAAAGTGACCGTCTCGACGAAGGAACAATGCGTGTCTCTGGGGTCTTTGTCTTGTATTCTGTATATTCTGTGTAAATACCGTGTATTTTTTTTTTTTTCACTCTCTTTCTCTCCCTCCGCGTGTGTGTCTTTGTGTATGCGTGTGTGTGCGCGCTGAAAACATTTCTTCACTCGACTAAACCTTTCAACGAAATTACCATTTTGTTAATTAAGCTGCGTTAGTATTTTAAATCGAACACACGTCTCGTTAGACCGAATATATTATATATTAATATATTAATATTATATATTTGTATTCGATTTTAAAATATTTTTATACGCACTAAAAAAAAAATTATTAAATTAATATTCATTTCGATATACTGCCTAATAAATTATTCATTCGACAGTATTGAAACAAATACTTGTAATATATTTTTTTTTTTTTTTTTTTCAGCGTGCCTACGTTCAATTAACAAAATAATATTCAGTCGAGCGGTTCGGTCGAGTTAACAAATTTATTTTCAATGTATGAACTGTAACTCTGAAACGTCAGTGCGTGACATATATATACACGTGTGTTCCTCACATATCCGTGTCTGTACGAACATGACGGAGCACCGACCCGATCGTTTCGACCCTTTCGACATCGTGACGTGTTCGCGCGATCGCTCTACCCCCATGTCTCGCCCCCAACCCCCCCCAACCCCCTCGTGTAAATGTAACCCTCTTTTCGCGCCCCCGCCGCATCGCGTCGTCGTCGAGAGGCGGACACGCGCGCGATAAGCTAGCTTCCGGATGGCCGCGTGTGTGCCAGATTTTCTTCGTATTTTTTGTTGCATTCATCATTTTGTAAAAAATATACGGAAAGAGATTTCCGCGAGATATTTGTATGTATATTCGGTATATATGCGGGAGATACATCGCGTCCGAGCCGCGCGGTTTCCGCTCCGATGACGCGCGCCGATTTTCTCTCGAAAATCTTGATATTCCGTTTCGCCGAAGCGTACTTCCGCTCGTTGCGGATCCCACGGAAATATTCCGGAAATACGATTCTCGAAACGAGCGATTTGGCGGGACGTTCAGCGTGATGTATCGGCGAGGCTCGCGACGACGGAAGTCGCGAATCTCGCATAAAATCGCGCGCGCGATCCTGGAGGATCCTGGACAATTGGAAATATATCTCGAATCTCGATCTCGTTTCCGATTTTTTTTTTCCTTTTTCTTTTTTTTTTTTTTTAATTTTTCGTTTAGGAGAGAAGTTAATTCTTTTTATAATCTCTTGCTTAATAGTCCGCTATTAAATATATTTACCTACTGATTCGTCTCTGCGTCTAGAGAGTAGTTTGAAAAGTGGCATGAGAGATAGTTGTGTGTCTGTATAGTGTGTTATAGATCTCTTTTTTTTTCTCATTTTGTCATTTCCCATTTCTGTGTTCTCTGTATCGAGATTAATTAAGTAATAAAGTTATAATTAATTATTTAATTAATTAAAGTGGCAGCAGTTAGGCCATGCGGCTCCTATCATCTAGTCGTCTTTGACTCTTGGCTTTCTTACGTAGAATTTAAAAATTGTTCTCCTTTACTTTTTTTTCTTTTTTTTTTTATTAAACTTCTTTATATTTTGAGAATAATTTGTATTAAATGACCTTTTCTTTAAAGTTATGTATTCTTCGAAGCGCCTATCCTAGCGATGTCTTTTTAATTAAGATTATTTTTTTTTTTCAGCGGTCTGCCTCTCCTTCTCCCTCTTTCTTTCGACCCTTAGCTTAGCCTGTTCGTTCTGTACGTGGTTAATTGTGCAAATATATATACGGCGAAGCCTATATGGAAAATTCGCGCGGTACCGGCCACATTTTGTCCGCCGTTCTACGGAGTAAAAAATACTGCATTCGATAAAGTCTCGTCGAAACCACGGAAAAGCGACAGTGCACTCTGTCCTCGGCGAAATTTGCACCGAGGACCTCGTCCTCTTCGCTGTGAGACCGCGCGCGTATTTTTTTATTTTTTTATTTTTTTTTCGCCGAAAAGAGAAAAAATCTTCGCGTCTTTCGTCCTCAAATTTTCGAAATTCTCCAAATTGCTCGACGTACAAAACGACAAGCCGACTCCGACAAATATATTCCTAACTCGAGACTTTGTGCCTCATTGTCAATGCTCTCGTGCCCGCTACGTTATAATCGCTAGCACTTGTTTATAATTAGATTCTTAAATATGTAATAAGCAAAAATATGAATATATATATATATATATATATATTATATATATATATAATATAATATAGTTTTGTGTATATAATAATTATATTATTTTACTCATTTTTTTTGTTTAAATATTTTTCGATAGGATCGTGATTATTTTTAATTAATTAACAATGATTAAAAGAGTGTAAGAATTTGTTAATCCTCTCTTCTAGTCCTCTCCCTTCATTTTCCTCGACCCTTTCCGCGCGCACGCCTCTTCTCTCTCTCTCTCTCGTATCATTTTACTAACTAATAAATTTTTTTAAGCTTAATGGCATGAAAATGCTCGTTGGAATTGACTCGTGTGTACAATATATATGTAAATATATATACAAATACAATATATACATATATGTGTATATATATATACATATTGCAATATACCGCCTCTCGCGCGCTTTGCACTTACGTCGCACTATTAAATCTCACAACCTGCTGTGATTCTACGTAATATACCCCAAGGGGAGAGAGTCGATATGGGTTTAATTACTCTGTCGGAGAAATTCGGCAATTCGGATTCGCATAGCACACCCCTTTTAGCGTATCGACACTTAACTCCCCTGAGATTTTCCCATTCGCATCCCTCTTCGGATCTCTCTCTCTCTCTCTCTCTCTCTCTCTCTCGTCTGTTCTGTCTGTCTATCTTCGTCTCACACGCGAGACGCGCGTTTAATATTTTTGTATTACACGTGCAGGCAAAGTGGCACTTTGTGTGCGTGTTTTCTTTCAAAGCCATTGCCTACGGCTGAGCCGCGTTTAAAGTCATTGCACACGGCTAAAGCCGTGGGCAATACATTGCCCACGGCTTCAGCCGTGGACAATGACTTTGAACACGGCTATTCCCGCACCGTGCCGCCGCAAGATGACGGCGTGCGATCGGCCACCTGGCGCACAGAAAACGCGCACAAAGCCACTTTGCCTGCACTTGTAATACAAAATAGTATGTGTATCACGTGCGGATTGACAATTGTTCACTCGTGTGACGCACTCGTGACCAATTGTCAACTTTCCGCACTTGATACACAATATACTATTGTTCTCCCGTGTTTACTCTTCCGTTTCCTCCTGTCCCCCAATTGCGCGGAAATACTTTCTTGGATCACCATTAATTTATCACAATGAAACGTTTGTCCACTTCGATCAAGACTTTGAACGCGGGACAACTCGCGGCTTCTGCGCCGCTCTTTTGCACGCGTCCGCAATCAACTACGCCCTTAATTAATCGCTAATTATTTTATATCGCTAGAGAATCTTTAAAAAAATCCCCTATCGGAGAGAGAAACGGTAGGTAGGTAGTTTTTGTAACAATGTGTAATCGACTAGCTTACATTCTATAAAGTAACTCTACAAAGTTGATTATACTGTGACTAGCACAGCCCGTGGATGAAGTTGCGAGACCCTTCGGAACAAAGGGTCTTGTTCAATTTTTTTTCCTCTTTTCTCTAGATATTTTTTTTCTTTGTTTTAATTTTCTTCTCCCTTCCCCCATTCGCCTACTAGTAGCTACCCTCGTTCGTGTATAATATACTGCCGCTTTCTCCTCGTCCCGTTTCTCCCCTTTCTTCCCTTTCTCTCTCTCTCTCTCTCTCGCCCTTTTCCTGAAATTCTTCAGACTCAAAGTATACAATCTCTTTTTCCTCTCCTTCTCGTTTATTTTTCGTCTCTCGAGTAAACTGAATTTTGTACGCGAAAGATAGAAAACGTCAGTTTTCCGCGACGTAATGAACGCCATATTTTCGCATTTAATATGTACATATACAATGGTGTCTTGACGCTGCTACAGCTGAAAATGCAATGTTCAGCTCCATATGAAGCACTTATAAATTTAATTACTACGTTTCTCGTAAAATATAAAAAATGGACGCAGATAATAATATATCGAAAATCAAACATCTAATATCGCAAAGCGTCAATACTCTAATTGTGTCGTTCCAATTCGTACCGAATAATTCAAATTTTTACCTCTGCCCTGTATATATATATTCAAGTCTTATTTTATCCGTCGCTGAAATTAAAATATAATCCACTATTCTACCTCTAGAATCGATTTGGTGTCATTCTTTTTTTGTTCGCTTATTCATCTGTCAATCGACATCCATTAACATCAGCTGATCCCGAAGCCAACATGCAAATAAACTATAAAATAAGTTCGAAGAACTTCAAGCGTTCGCTCATTTTTTTTTTAACTCTTTTTCTTCGCAGACTCTGTTTTTTTATTGGTGCAAATCTAGCCACAGCATTGTCTAAAAATAAATTATGGTAAATTCGGGAGCAAAAATTGATAAACGTATTAGTAAAGAAAAATAGAAAAGATTAATTGTTCCCTACTGCAAAGTGAAATTACGGTGATCGATAGATGCGATCGCATCGAAAAAGAATAAATGTAATAATCTCTGCTTGAATATTTCTTCGTGATAAAACTACGCCGACGCGAACAGGAATAATATTTATAATTGACACGAGTCGACGAAATTTTTCAGGCAAAGAAAGCTTTAATTGTCCTTATTTTTAAAGTATTTATTTATATTTAATGTAAAAATTACGAGATTTATATTAATCTAATCTTTTAATATAGATTCAAAATGCAAAATTGTAAATTACAACATAGGACGAGCACGACGACATTTAACTTTCAGAATTGTAAACATATAAAATTCTCGATCTCAATTTAATTTATATATATAATATATATATAATATATATATATGTATATCTATTAAATTCTTTATCTAATTCTTTATTCTCAAAAAGATTTCAAATTTGTCGACTAATGTGTCATTAAAGGAGAAAACGTGTGTCTCTACAGCCGCGAGGAGCTCTGCCTCGAAGTGTGTCGAAGAAATATTTCCTTCCAGATATCTACGTATCGGTAGAATCTGCCGATGGCAAAAAGCTCGCGAGCTTTATACGAAAGCAATAACGATTTTTGTGCGATTCAACTCGATGCAGACGCATATATATGCCAATAAAATATCACGGGAACGGTTCGTCGAGTTCGATGCTGTCGCAGGGAATCAACGTATACGTGCCGGACGTACATTTATACTTCTCGTCGTTTCTCGTGTCGAGAGACACGTTAAGATAAATTCTTACACGTTACAAGCAGAGAAGATAAAACCGTGTATCCTACATAAAAGTACATGCTTCTCGAATCGATCGATCGCGTGCAGATCCATAGAAGTTCACCCGATCCGACGTGTCCCATCCGATGCTGGCTCGTGTCGATCGGAGGAAGATACAGGAACGCGTGGAGAAAATTGCGGTAGTAGAGTGATAAAGATAGGTACGTACAAGCGAAACGAACGAGCGGTCGAGGATATATAAAATCGCGGTGCTCCAAGTGCTTAACTCATCAGTGTGAGGGACAAAAAGGTCAAAACTATACGAGATCAAACTTTAGAGATAGATAGATAGTTAGATTGATTGATTGATTGATTGATTGATAGATAGATAGATAGATAGATAGATAGATAGATAGATAGGTCAACCACTCTTTGTTTTTTTTTTTTCAGGGGGTACGCAAATCATGGAGACGCAGAGAGTAAAGCGTATCATCCGTGTCGTGAGCGTCTGGTACCCTCTTTCTCAGTAGTTGTAGTCAATAGTGGTCACTGACGATCTCGTCAAGATCGTATAGGATGAGGTATGCTCCCGTCATTCACCTACGCTTTTTTCCTATTTTTCTCCCCTTTCACTCTCATTTCTTCCTGCACGTTACTTTGCTACCGAACTGTCGCCGTTCTGCGCGCCGTTGGACTGACAGTCAACTAGGTGACCTCCTGGCTGGCGGCTACTAGGCTGGCCCCTGGGCTAGATGAGGGCGAGCTTTGGGGGACAGCAGCCGCCCGTGAAGTGGCCACTGGCGGCCTCCCGTTCCCGTTTGCGACGGCCCTGGCGTTCTGCAGTCTGATTCACAAGGCAGAAAAGACGTACGCTTTATATAAAATGCGCCTTTACAGCCGGGCGTATCGCTCGCGCGGTCGTGAGTGCACACCGAATGAGATCAGGCAGTAGTTCTTTGTAATCCGGTAATCAATCAGAGGCAAAACAGTCGCATCTAATAAGCGGGTTCCCCGTTCAACACTTTATTGCTACGGTCCCGAGTTCAGTTTAATGATAAGCGATTTAATCGTTCCCGTCGCGTTGCAAATTTTATTTTACTCGGATATATATTATTCGGTGAATGCACCGTGTATCTTTTAAATGGAAATAATGAATATGTAAAATCATTTTTTTCCAGATCAATATATGTGGACGAATTAAATGCTTGATTAAATATTCGTCAATTAAATTTTTTTCATTCGGCCGATGAATATGCATAAGTGTGTTGAAAAATAAATATATAATTTAATTTCGATTCTCTTCGAAGCTACGCGTGTTTGAATTATTCAAAAATATAATGCAAAAAATTACGACGAAATACAAATGTTGGTTTTTTTTTTTTTTTTTAATTATTCGCATATGGTATATGCGATAAATAAATGCAATATAAATACGCAATAATTAATATGCAATATATTTCTCGGGAAAACTGGTTGACAAAGTGGTGATCGAGGAACTCGTTAATTCTATATTATATTCGTTAAGCAACAAATACACGGTTTCATTGTCACAAAAGACAGAGAATATATATATATATATATATATATATATATATATATATATATATACCGACGAGACATTCAAACAATAAACACGAAGCATCGTCAAACGTGATGTGAAGCACGGTTCCGATATATAGACATATAACTCGTTAAATTCGTGTGTTATAAAACAGGGTGCAAATCAAAATAGAAAGACAGAGAAAAAGAGAAGAGAGAGAGAGAGAGAGAGAGAGAGAGGAGGGAGAGAAAGAGATAGAAAGAGATAGAGAAAGAAAAGAAAACACGTAACGACGAAAGCGCATTTAATTCCCTCCGGCACAGAAGAGACAGGAGCGAGAGACAAACGAGCACTTTTTACCGAGAAACGATCGCCCTACTATGAGATACGTTACTTACCGGTCGTGAATCGTCCCACGACAAGCTGCATTAGTGACACACAGAAGAGGGAGACTTTAGAACTTTTACACTTGTCTTTTTCTTTTTTTCGGTACGATAAAGCCTTTCGTGTGCTAACAAGAAGTCTCTACTACGTAACTAATGTGCGTGCACATCGTTGCAACAGGAAATGCAGCACTGTACACACACACGTACGGGGATACTAACTTGATCTTGGACTGTCGCATGAACTGCTGGATCTTCCGGGCGGCCTGATGAGCCGCCTGCTGATGGACCGCCTGTTGCCTGATGCTGGTCGAGCCTGGCCGGGCCCGATAATTTCGATAGTTGTTCTGAATCACCAGAGCCGCCCTCGTCGCTTGCCTGCGTCAAAAAACACGGCGAAAATCAACATATAGTTTTGCCCTTTAAAACCAAAAATTCTACTCACATATACATATTATAATATTTTGCCTACAAAACGCTATTTTTTACATTTTATAACCATTTTTTTACCGAGTTATTGGAAATTAAATCTGTATTTTTTTTTTAGAAATGATATTCGGCGAAAAGCCATCGTACACAAAAAATTAAAGAAGCATCTTAAAGTTTGCGATTTTAACTTTAATGTGCTATCGATGGTCTTTCAAAATTTTTTTATGATATTTTTTTTTGATCGAGTTATTGGAAACTAAATCTGTACTTTTTACGAATAATATTGATACTCGGCGAAAAATCATCGTTGACAAAAAATTAAAAAAAAAACATTTTTAAGTGTGATGTGTCAACTTTAACGCGCTGTCGGTGATTTTACAAATTTTTTCTTTTTCTGAGAAATACAGATTTAATTACAAATTGTGTAACTCGAATAAAAAAATCATAGAAAAATTTAAAAATATTGTTTTATAGGCAAATTAACATAATTTTTAAGATAGGAAGACTGTTCCCTATTTTTTTTTAATAGTGTGTATATATTTTTTTATATTCATATATATTCCTAAAATAAATCAGCAGTTTAGATGTTTCACGCATCTCGATACTTGTCTTCCAATTTGCATGCTATCGAACTTCCTTCATTTAAAAAGGTGATAATAATGAATAAAGAATGCAAATATTCGAGAAGATAATTCGTCAATAGAAAACACATTGCAAGACGATTAGATAAAAGTAACGTTGTGTATAATAATTTTAGAAAAGTCAAATAAATACGATAAAATAAAAAAAAGCTTCTCTCGAAAAGGTAGAAACGTTTTTGTTAAATTAAGAAAGATAGAAACGTTTTCTCTTCGCTCTTGGACAAATGATACTTCCAAAGTTGGCCGTATTCGCTCGATATCTATCATTATTTCTCGTAATTTCGTCCTGTATGTGTTTCCGTGAAGATTCTACAATGATAACGTATAGTCAGCTGATTGTGTCACTAATTTCGGAGACATTACACTGGGAAGTTTGAATTGCTACGTATATAACTTGCGGCGAACGCGAAGAGAGGGATGGGAAACACAGGTCTCCATCTTCAACAAAAGTCGTATTAATTTAATGCCAAGTTAATTCTGTATTCAGGCCACCGTAACGAAAGCAGAGAAGTCCGCAAAGTTTCCGAATTATTTACGATGCCAATTAAAAGTTCGCTCCGAGAGGGAGAGACAGAGAAAGAAAGAGAGAGAGAGAGAAAGACACGAGTCGAACTTTGGGTGGCATCAGTCTAATTCAGTCGGAGGTCGTTAAGTTGGCCCACAATGGTACGTCTTGTCTCTCCCGGTTATTAATTGTCGCTTATTAAGATGTCCCCTTTCTCCTTGCTTTCGCCGACCAACGGAATATCGATGGAAATTTAACTTTGTAAGTTCGAAGCTATTTGGCGATGTCTGCGCGATGCGAGATAACGATCTGTCATACTTAAGAACCTTGAGTTCAACCTGATAACACGCGCCCGTACAAACTTGGACGATCTGTATCTAAACGTTGCATGCATCGCATGAAGTAGTACTATTATAATCCGACAACGAGTGATTCATATTCCGTTCTTATAATGAAAACTTTGTAAATGAAGGAAGCTCGATAGCATGCAAATTGACAAAAAGAAAGACAATTATCGAGATGCGTGAAACATCTAAACTGCTGATTCATTTAAAAACATATACGTTGCTCAGAAAAAAATAGAGAATATTTTTCCGAAAAACTATGTTATTTTTCAAACCGTTGAAACTCGGCGAAAAATCATTGTAAATTAAAATTGCATTTTGCAGTTTCAACTTTAACGCGGAATCGGTGGTTTTTTTACACATTTTTTTTTTTATCTTTCCGTTCTGTTTTAACAAAGGATACATTGTTTTGTTCCTTAAAAATATGCATTTTTACACTCTGAACCTCGATAAAAAAACTTTTTTTCGAAAAACTCTGCTCAAGTTTTGTAAACTACAATATTTTGCCTATAAAAGGCTATTTTTAGAATTTTTCTACGGTTTTTTTTTTATCCAAGTTATACAACTAAATCTGTATTTTTTTTTCAGAAAAAGAAAAAAAAGTAAAATCACCGATAGCGCGTAAAAATTGATTTTTCACGCTTTTTTAATTTTTTGTTTACGATGATTTTTCGCCGAGTATCGACATCATTCCTAAAAAAATAAAGGCTTAGTTTTCAATAACTCGGTCAAAAAAAAATCGTAAGAAAATTTTTAAAATAGCGTTTTGTATGCAAAATGTTCATTATGTTTATGGAACATGAGTAGAATTTTTCAAAAGAATTTTTTCATCTTAAACAACACAATTATACATTTGTTAGCACAAAACCAAGAAATAAAAAAGATGTGAAAACCACGATAGTACATTAAAGTTGAAATTGCAAACTTTAAAATGCTTCTTTAATTTTTCATCTACGATGCTTCTTCGTCGAGTTTCAATGAAAATGGTATAATTTTATTCCCTATTTTTTGAACAGTCTAATATAAAAATATTAATATAATCAATTAAAATTCATATATATAAATATAAATAATATTATATATATATATATATATAATATAATTATATATATATAATATAATATTAATATATACATATATATAAAATATATATATAATATAAAAATATATAAATATATATAAAAAATATAAAAATATATAAACAAAATCTGCCACAAACGAGAGTTACCTGTGATAAGCGTACTGCTTATGCCGGCGATAGTATTGTTGGATGAGAACGGCGGCGTGTCTCTCGGCCTCCTCCTGCCTCTGGCGACCCTTGTAGTTCCTGTACGCCTTCTGGATCATCCTGGCGGCGTGGTAGAGCTCCCTCTGCTCGCGATCGGACAGCGTCAATCTGCTGAGATCCGCCTCGCTGCCGCCGTCGCTCGTAACCGTCAGAGCCCCGGAACCGATCATGCCGTTCAATCTGCGCTCGCCGGAATAATACGCGCCGCTGTGCGCGTTCCCGTTACCGTCGAGATGCAGCTGCAGCTGCAGAAACTCGCAGAAATCGGCGGTGGTCGGCGGCGGAGAAGGCGAGTCCGGTGTCAGGCAGCTGCTCGAGGGACTCGAGGGACTCGCGTCGGCGTCGGCGTCCGAGATCGACGCGGCGCCGCCGTTGCAGTCGCGATACGAGTCGAACAGTTCTCCGGAGTCGAGGGGCTACAAGCAGGATTAGCATGGAAATTGAGTTTTACGGCGGGAAAACTCTCTCCCAGACGCCCCGGCGTCCCATTTGTCGAGAGGGCCCGTCTCAAAGTTTTGCTCTTAATTATGATTCAGGACGGGGATCTAATGATCCCTTTGATCGCGCGGAACGTGCGAAGATTTTGCCATGCTCGGGCAAGTTTTAATGTTCCGATTAATCATCTGTACGATTCCGATTTACGTGCTTTATATACTTAATCTATTTGGAAATCAAGATAGAGGGTAATATGAAATTATGTTAATGAAGCTTTCGTGCGATGAAATATGATTTCAACGTGAAATGTTTCGATTAATGAAAATCACGACTCACCATTTGTTCCATCAGAGCGTCCTCCAAGGGTGACAGGGGTGCGGTTGGCGGCGGTGGCGAAGAAGAAGACGGAGAATCACCCTCCGCCCTCTTGATCCTTTCCGGGAGCGCCGCTATAATTTGCTCCGCCAATGTCAGCACCCTCGCGTCTTCCTCCCCTATAAAAAGGAATCACCACCCTAACCAAAATTCTCGAAAAGTTCGTGTGGTGGCAGGCCGCCGAAATCACATCGATCACAACACCGACAGTTTAAAAGCCGTGAGCGTGTTCTACGATCCACAGCGGGATGTTGCTGTCGCAATGTCAGATTAAGAATGCTTAAACACCAAACAGCTGCGCCGCTACGACGCGAATTGACAGGGCGAATTAGACTAGTCGTCGGTGAATGATTTTCTACTCGTTGGAAGTCTTTTTAAGGCAATCCGAGGCAAACGTCCACATCGGCTGAACAGATCGCGCGTCTGTTCAAGTAGTTTATAGTCTCTTTTTACTGCCGCTTTTTTTTTTCCTTAAAGATTGCACGCATTTGAGATTATCGTCGCTCGAGGACAGGCTTCAATAGCCAGATAATAGGCTAAGAAAGTTTGGACATTATACAGCGATTCATTTAACATCAGCGGTTACGAAGGCCAAGCAACACCAAAAATTTGTCAAGCTGTAAGAGTTCAGAAGAGTTAGAGATAGGCAGCGTGATTGTCGACCGCACACACAGAAAGAGATAGTAGAGAGAGAGAGAGAGAGAGAGAAAGAGAACATTGTACGCGTATATGTGTGTTCGTGTAAAAAGTGTGTGTATGTGTGTCTGCGAAAACGAGGGACGCAACTAGGATCTCTACGCAGTAATTGTAATAGTAGTATATATATACATATATATATATACGTCTAGGCCGACTTGTTCTATCGGTAGTGTGTCACAGAGAATAGACAGAGTTACGGATAGTTTTTTTTTTACAGACAGGCAGACAGACAGACAAATAGAAGAGGAAAACGAGGAAGGTACGGACCTACGGTCTCCTGAGGGGTCGGAGCGCTCTCCATTCCCTGTTCGCTGAGGCCTAAAGACGACTCATCCTCTTGCAACAACTCCATGTTGTCCAGCAGCGGCGAGCCACCTGTGTATTTTTCGATAAACACCCCACTTAATGCTAATACACGTTGTGCCTAATTTATTTACGCTCGCATGACTTACGGCCTTTTTGTGACTCTACGATATCTTTACTGGATGTAGGAAGAAGGAGAGGGAATATATAGCGATATTCGGTAATATATAAAGGCTAGCGAGAGAAAAAAGGGAAGAGTGTGAATATACGTGTTTAGATACGTGAGTGTGTGTGTGTCTTTGTATGTGTGCGTGTGTATATATATATATATATACGGAAGAGAGGACAGTATAATAACAAACGAAACTAACACAACGCCAAATCGAGACCGCTGTCTTGAGATGGTCTCCTGGGGCTAGGGCTGGCGGGTCGCAAGAAGAGCCTCTCGTCTTGCCTTCGGGCTTCGAGCTGATTCAGTTCTTCGGCAATCGCCGCGTGGCCGTTCTCCGCGGCCAGTTCGGTCGCCGTTCTATTCTGACAATCCCTCACGCGAAGCGCCATAGCGTTCCATCTACGAAAGGCACAGTGTCAAACGAGGAACACTTGTTCAAAATTACTTTAAAGCTTTTGCGAATCGTACTTTTCGTCCGTAATGCGTAAATCCGCAATAAGTCTTTTATATTATTATAATTATTATTTCACACCAAGTATGATATTATAATATTCCAGAACAAATATGATTTTTCGCGAACCTGTAAAGAATCCTGGCGGTGTCGGCGTGTCCTGCCGCGCAGGCCCAAGCGAGCGGCGTAAGGCCGGCGCTATCCTGCCTAAGAGCATCGACCTCGGCATCCAAAACGCTACTAGGATTTTCCGCTCTCCAGTGAAGGAGTGCACAGGCTAACCTGGAGTATCCCAATCCGGCTGCCAGGTGCAGAAGGGTAGGCCCGCCGGATTGAAGAGGTTCCGCTCCAGCTCGCCAAGGACGGACAACAGCATCCTGCAATATTTCACGTCGAAACTTTACGCTGTAACTTGTGAAATGACACGCCTGTCGTGTCCGAGACTGAAGAGCGCTTAATGATCGAGTAATCCTTAAAGTATACCTGGCAATAAGCAACCAGTCGCTCTTCCAGATGTGCTGCGGGAGACGGCGGACCGGGACCCTGCAAACGGGCCTCGACGTCCGCTAGACGGTCCAGCAGAGCTTTCTCTGGGCTAGGTTCGCTCGTCGGCGCTCTACGATACTCGAAGGCAACGCTGTCGGACACGACGAAACCGTCGCACGCCACCTGGAGGGACGCTATTCCTGGTGCGTGCGCGGGACATCGACAGCGCAGTACACCTGGTTGCACGAGGCACGCCTCGACCGGTTCCGCGTCGAAAAGTACCGAATACGATTGGGACCCACTACCGCCGGTCCAGGGACCAGCAACTAATACCTGAAGAGTGTTAGAAAATAAATGTAAATAAATATTGAGAATACATTTTCCTTCCCGGAAGATAAATAGGATCATATCAATGATCATTTTTGAGCCGCAAATATTTCAACTCACTTTTACACCACCCTCGGTGTAGCTCCATTCAGGACTATACTCTGCAATATGGACGGTTGTACCAGGATGACATCCGACGTCGTTCTCGGGAGCGCTTCGCTGTTCCTCGTGCTTCGTTTGATCGGCCTCGAAGTCGTGCAGTTCGGGAAAATCGCACAACATGTCGAACGCGGCTAAGTTGACCAGCACGTCATCCGACGAGTCGATAAAGTCCATCGGATTGATCATGCTGTTGTCCGCCGGCGAAGGCGACGGCGACGGGGGCCCCATGTTGGCCGACAGGGTCTTCTGAATGTCCTCCTGACTCAGATCCAGCGTTTCGGCGAAGTCGGTCACCTCGGAGCCGGAACCGCCGATCGGCAGCGATTGCACGACGGATCTGTCTATGGTCTCCTGCGCCTCGATATCTTGTTGCGTCTGCTGTTCTCGGTCTACGCTTGTCTGCGGCACCAGTTGTTGCTCGGTGACCTGTTGCATCTCCACTTGCTGACTCTGCTGTTGGGGAGGCTGCTGTTGCTGCTGTTGCGATTGCTGTTGCTGCTGTTGTTGTTGCGGCTGTTGCGGCTGCTGCTGCTGCTGCGGTTGCTGCTGCTGCTGCTGTTGCTGATGATGATATGGTTGACTATTGAGTATCAGAAGACCACCACCGCCTTGAATTTGTTGCAAACTTAAAACTAGAGGAGCCGGCTGTTGGCTCTGAGTGGAATGGGAATGTCTTGAGTACACACGGGGAGCCGGAGCCGCTGTCGTCGACGGTTGCTGACCTCCCGTTGTCGAAGAGACCTTCGAATAATAATAATACATACGCTGAAGAGTTGACTTGAGCACACGGTTATAGAAAATTTCCGCTAAATAAAAAGTTTTAAACTATTTCAGAGCAAGTTGATATGTTTACAAGTTATAAATGAAAATTAATATTTATCTCGACGACAAGGTTTTAATACCTGATTGTCGGGCGTAAGTCTCCTAGGTGCGAGCTGAGTGCTGCTGGTAGAGGAAGTGGAGGATGCCCTCTGCCTGTCGAGCAGCTGAGAGACTATCATGTCGACAGGATGGTTCGAGTGTTGCGTAAGATGAGGATTGTTCGGATCGTCATCTCCGCCGAGGAACATGGGCCTTAATTGCGACGCTAGCTCGTCTCGCGTCCATTCCTTCTTGTCTGGCGGCAGCGCGAGACAAGGTGGCAGGGCCGCCAGCTTCGCATCGCCGTCCGGATAAGGAACGTTCAGATAATGGACAAGAACAACGTCCGGATTCTGTAGTAGCCAGTAACACCGGCGATGAAACGTCGGAAGAATAGCCGAGTGCACGTAACAGCCATAGATGCACTCGACTCCCTGGACCTATACATGATTAGATTGTCGTAAATAGCGGCAAATTTTTCTGTACAATTTTTAGTAAAAACTTATCGAAATAGATTATTACACGGTAAAAAATTGTGTTTTCTTGTTCAAAATGGTCCCCGTGAAAAATTTTACACATTCATGTGTTAATTTAATATATTGCTGTTGTGTTATAATTGAACTTAAATGTTAAATTATTAGAACGACCAAAAAAGATGTAAAACTAACACAATGTGCATCTATTTTTAATTTTACACAATACGTGTATATGTTCTGTTTCATTAGCGACAAGATTTATCTGTTAAAATTTGCAGAATAAAATGATGATTTTTATTTTATAAATGGGGATGACAGAATCTAAAATTAACATATTTTCAGTTAATCTTTACACAAAATTTATTTTAAATTACTTAAAGTTTTGCATTTATTTTGTGTTAAAATAAGTATTTGCGTCTCCATTTAACATATCCATATTGTTAAATTAACAGAAAAATTTCTGTGAACCGTTTGGGACATGTGATATCTGTTAAATTTAACACCAATTTTTCAACTGTGTACTCTATCAATTTCTTTAATGTCAAACATAATATTCTCCTTTTTTCTGGTTTTAAAGTTACCTTCAGTTTCATGTGATCCTCCCGTGTAGTCTTTCCATCTTTTCTCTTCTTCCAGCAATAACCATCTCGTCGGTAACGTACTTTCTTTCTCGAGTACAGTAACATCGAACCACTTCGTGGTCGTACTTTCACCTCCCGACTTTGCCATTCGGCGTGTCTCTGAAAACTGATTAGGATGGCGGCGATTTCCTAAAAATAAAAGAATCAACTGCATATGATATGCTTCAACGTATAATTCTGATAACATTTCATACAGAAATTTATATACATTAATATATTTTATATATTTTACATTATTAATATATTATCATGTATCATGTTGCATTTAATTTAATCGTCCAATTAAATTTATTCACGTTGATCAAATATTAAATTAGATAAAAAGATGCTAATGCGAAATAAAAACTTATATAATGATCTGTGGTATATATTTTAAATATTTCCGCTGACATTTGCCTTTGTTAAAAATTTGGCTTCTATCCGAAAATCACAATCGACATGATCTATCTGTATTTTCATCTTTAGAGAAATAAAATTACAATTTATCGCAAACAATCGTTGAACTTTAAAATTGATATTGTATCATTGATAAATTTGCATGGACGCATATAAAAAGTGTATTCTCGTAAAGAATTTTAATTTGATTTGGGGCAATATTTTTATGATTCAAGAGAATGTTTTATTCAACATTGATGTATTAAAATATTTACTGGCATTTCTTATTTATAGAATAACCTGCCAGCATTTAATATTATAAAACAATCACGTTAGAAATTCATCGATTTAAAAAAAATAAATAAAAATGAGGTAAAAGTTACACACACACACACACTCGAAGCAAGATTCTACTGTTTATGTGTGTCGATTACATCTAACATACGTGATATAATCAACAAGTCGAGTAGGCAAATATAAATTCTCCTTAATCTCTAAATTATTCTTGATTTTTGTTTTGAATAAAATAAGTTTTTCGATTTCTCTCCTTTTCGACTGCTTGAGATCAAAAATGCTTAACACGATGAATAATTCAGTGGAAACACATACGGTGCACGCCGACAGTACTTCGCGGTATGAAAAATGGAGAAACTGTCTTCGGGTCGGATATCTCATCCGTATACTTTACATCTCACGCGTGATACGACTATACTACCACTGTGTATAAGTAGACGGGTTGTTCGAGATGTGTGTGCATGTTTGCATATATTCGCATTTACACGCCGCTAACAATAACAGCGCCATTATATTACGGTTCATTATTGATTTCTGCTGCCGAGGAACCGCTCGGCGGTATAATTTTAAGTGCGATAGTACGGCATTATTAAAGGAGAGGAAGTAACGCCAGTTACATAACGTTAAAAAAAAAAGTATAATTATACTATCGCGCGATGGGGGGATTTTTGATGTCACGTATCACAAGCCTTTTTCCCTCATTCCTCATCCCTTAATCGTTCGTCAGGCCTTACGCGCCGCGAAACATGACACGCAACAATCGGCATTTAGCGAGTTCGCGCGCGATGCGCATATAATGAGAATGTAAAAATGCAAAGCCGTAATAGCGCTTCTATAAATATTCGTAGTACAACTCGCGCGATGCTTATCGGCGATTCCAGGCTACTTGAGGACATAAAGGGGAGAAAGGCGTCTCCCGCGGCGTGCGCGAAAAAGAAGAAAAAGAAAAATATTCAACACCCCGATGGGCGCTGTAAATAAAAGGTAGCCAGGAGCGAGCGCGACACGCGACCTAACGTGCAATAATGCAAATCGAATAAAATGCACGTGGCAGATTTGACCGATCCGAAGCACTTAACAATGAAATATATGTATATGGAGTGTCCCGCGCGATTTCGAGACAATGCGAAAAAAAGAGACGTATCGCGCTTATTAATATAATTTGTCCGACGCGATTAAAGCTGGATAAATTAATTATTCAATCCCGATAATGTGCAGAAACTGAAAATTAAGCTACATCTCTTGCGCATTTTGTAGAATGTTGAAATTTTAATTCAACTCGATACGTCATTTTAAACGCACGCGGAATAAACATCACTTAAAAGCTATATGAACAAAAATAATTTAAAAATGATAAAAGGAATCAGAGATTTAAAGCTCTCTAATATAAGATAATCGCATTATATAATTTTAAAAAAATTTATGTTGCTTGAATAATGTTAGAATATGTGTGAACAATAGAATGAATAAATAATTGTAATATACAAATATTTTTTCCAAAATTACTTTTAAGTGACATTCGTCACTAAATGACGTGAATTGTGTCATGATGACGTTATTAAAAATTCATTTTATATTTATATTAGGAAGCTTTTTATGATTCTATTTGTCATCTTTAAATCATTTTTGTCCAGATGACTTTTATGTGATGAATGAAATCATGATGATGTCACTTAAAATTCATTTCATATCTTATGTTAGGGAGCTTTCTTATAATTCCTTTTGTCATCTTTAAATCATTTTTGTCCAGATGACTTTTAAGTGATGAATGAAATCATGATGACGTCATGATGATGTCACTTAAAATTCATTTCATATCTTATATTAGGGAGCTTTCTTATGATTCCTTTTGTCATCTTTAAATCATTTTTGTCCAGATGACTTTTAAGTGATGAATGAAATCATGATGACGTCATGATGATGTCACTTAAAATTCATTTCATATCTTATATTAGAAAAGCTTTTTTATGATTCCTTTTGTCATCTTTAAATCATTTTTGTCCACATGACTTTTAAGTGATAAATGAAATCATGATGACGTCATAATGATGTCACTTAAAATTCATTTCATATCTTATATTAGGAGAGCTTTTTTATGATTCCTTTTGTCATCTTTAAATCATTTGTGTCCAGATGACTTTTAAGTGACAAATAAAATCATGATGTCATTATGAGTTTTATGTTCCACCTGGATATGTGTGTGCTTATTTAAATTGTTGTCGTCATTAGAGCGACGCGGGACACATAAGGTAGGCGTCCAAAATAAATGTACGCAATTCTCGCGATATTCTAATCAAGAGCGAGGTTCGCCTTCAACTCTGCTATATACTGGAAATGAAATAAAACGATCGCGAGAAGGTGGCCACCTCGACGAATCTAAATATAATAACGTAATAAAGCGCTTCGCCTCTAAAAATTCTCTTCCGATTCAATTTCGTTGATTTGGCAACGTGCCCCGGTTCTACGAGAGAGTGAGAGAGAAAGAGAGAGAATTATAGAACGATACTAAATATGCATATCACCCGGAATATGTATCGCGCTCCTCACGAAGGTTACTATCGTACGTCATTAGAGCCTTTGTCAGGAACACCACACCAAATTTCCCTTTCCTCGCGCATGTTATCTCTCTCTCTACCGTCCATTAAATTTCTTGGCCGTGATCTCGGTCTCGCATCGAATCATATAGATCACATGTATCTAGGGCGCAATATTTTCGGCGGGACAACATCTTGTGATTTTATCTCCCGGACGCATCTCTAATATTTATTCAAAAATATGAAACGTGACTGAAAATTACACCTAAATTCTGCCTGTATATATAATATTAATACATATAAGTATTAAACAAATAAATATAACAAATAAAACAGATGATATCCTTTTATTTTTTTAATCGCGTATTTAGCTGCACACGTGCGTTTGCATGTGTCTGTACGTGATACATTTGATAACCGAAATGTGAATTGCAAGTACGAACATTCATCACGTCGGCCGGAATGGCTGCGGTTCGCGTTTATATACGTGAAGCAACATCCATCCGCCAAGTACAAATTAAATTCCCGCGAGATTCTGCGGCTATCTTCCACGCGGTATTGAGGATAACCCGAATACCATACGACACACATGGAGAAACAGGCATGTGCAGCCGAAAGTGCGACGTATCTTGCGTACATTTTGCAGTGACAGGACTTAGCTTTTGATTATTGGACCCGGCGCTCCATTTCAACCGAATCTCTTTCATTTTAAATGGGATACCGTAAGACTCGAATTCCCAAGCTAAATATGATTGCGTGCACCGAGAAAGGAATTATTAAATTAATAAATATTTATTACGAATAAATATCCGTTTTGAAAAACATTTTCTTATATCAAATAAATATTTTTCGCATCAAATCAATATTATTAATTTCAAATAAACGATTTATTAGACAGTAAAAAAAAAGGACTGTCTACTGAATTTTATTCGAGGGATATTTGCAATTTTATTTCATCTTGCAAAATTGAATCGTAATTTTCCTACATCGATTCGTAATAATTTTGAAATAATTTACGTGAAGATATTTTTTGTTGTCCAAAAAGAATGGCGTATACAGGATTGATGATACGTTGCGGTATAAAATATTAGCTCATTACCGAATTGTTAATCCGCAAAATATATCTCTCTCCCATTCAAAATGTTGATCATGTCGCGAATTTTTCGTAGGCTAAATATCTTCGTGCCGTCCCATGGATTCGCCTTCAACTTTCGAAAGGTTCCCCGGCCTGATAATAAATATTCTCGTGGCCTCGATAATAAATATCCTCGAGCAAAAATCAATGGACAAGCTAGGATAGCGGCAACTATACAAGGTAGTTTACATTTAATAGTATAATGAAAATAATAATGGCATATAATAGCAGTGATAATAATAGTAATAGTACTATTGTTATAATAATGTTGCGCATGAGAAAACGGTATAATTTTACTGCCTGAGACTTCCCTCTCTCTATCTCTTCTCGTAAAGTATCCTTATACGAAGGAGCATAATTGTTATTACATTTAAATGGGATATATTAATATAGTATATAAAATTTAAACTAGGTAATAAGAGGAATATATTAAATTCTCGTTAAAATAAGATGAAGAATAAAGCTTTCTCTCCTCTCTCTCGATCGTATTATTTATTCTGGGGCACTTTATATAACGAAATCCGTCGAGGGGAGAATTTGTACGAAAATTATGAATGTGTGGGAAACCGATGATGGCTTCGCGGCCATTAGACGAGCCGGCCACCGACAGCGGGCCTAGATAAAGCCCTATGTTGTAGTGATTTACAACTGGTTAATTGATCATTTGCATTCTAGCGAGGATGCCTCGTGCGCTTGCCGTCGTAAGCCGCGACGTTTCGCCGACGCGACGCGACGGAGACTCCAAAACTCGCGGCGACCTCGGGCTTTGCCGAGCATTCATGCATTCATCC